GTGCGCAAAGACTTCCACCCCCGCGTCACTTGCGCCTGCCAGGAGCACCGGACAGGCACCGTGGGGTGAGTTAGGGACCTCCTAACTTAAAAAAGCAAAACAAACTTTAGTATCTTTGAAGGCATTCAAATGACCCCTTTGAGGTTACACGGTTATGCCTCAGCTCTGACGTTCTCCTCTCCTCTTACCTCCCAACTGGGTTGTTCCGAGACTATGGAGAAGGCATCCAATATGAGAAGTCATACACTATCCATAGAGCCTCTAGGCTGGGGGTGTGTAAAGCCCTGGACCATCATGATCCCTCCAACCCCAACCCCTCCGAGGCCCCAATACACACAGACGCACACCCAGAGAAAGAGAGAGAGGCGTGAAAGTCTCTGATGTTGAACACTGCCCCCCAGCACATGTGTGCAGGGCCTTCCAGACTTCCAGGGAGGCTGACTGTCGATGGTAACGTAACTTTCTGCTTAGGTGCCACTAAAAAGCAGTAACTGTGTTAGAACCCCCTAAAGTGAAAAGTTGATGTTCACTTCCTATGTCCATTTACTGTCCAGCAGATTTAAGATATCCAAGGTCATCGTTGTGGGGGACCTGTCTGTGGGGAAGACCTGTCTCATTAATAGGTAACAGGGTGCTGGAGCTTGGCTGGGCGAGGACACAGTAGGATCTGCCTTCACAAAGTGGGCTGTGCTATAGGCTACTTGATGCCTCCTCAGGTTCTGCAAAGACACCTTCGATAAAAATTACAAGGCCACCATTGGAGTGGATTTTGAGATGGAACGATTTGAAGTGTTGGGTGTCCCCTTCAGTCTCCAACTGTGAGTGTCTCTTCCACCGCTCCCAGCGAGGCTTGTCAGCCTATTCTGCACAGCCTATTACCTGGGTTCTGCTCTCCTTTCTTCCAGTTGGGACACTGCTGGGCAGGAGAGGTTCAAATGCATTGCTTCCACCTACTACCGAGGAGCTCAAGGTATGGACTCAGCCCTGTCATGCAAGCAGCCTAAGAGAGCACACCTAGCTTCTGAGTAGAGGCAGGGGGTAGGGAGGATGAGGCAGAGGCATCTGTGAGTCAGTCAGCATGCAGCTGTTTCTGTCACTCTTTCAGCCATCATCATTGTCTTCAACCTGAATGATGTGGCATCCCTGGAACATACCAAGTATGTAAGGGTGCCCAGAGCACAGTGGGAAGTCCAGGGAGGGATTAGACAAGGTGATCAGAAAAGGAGGGTGTGTATAAGGACTGTGTCCGGAGCTGAGTGGAAGAGCATGTGTGGGCAATGCATAGCTGGGAAACTGGGACCAGTCCTTGGAGTAAGAGGGGGGGCGCAAAAAAAATCAGAGCCAGTAACCAACATGGGAAAGATGGCGGACGGGGTCTGTCAGGTTCAGTCATTCCTCACTGCTGTCTGCTATTTGTGGCAGGCAGTGGCTCACTGATGCACTCAAGGAAAATGACCCATCCAACGTGCTTCTCTTCCTTGTGGGTTCCAAGAAGGACCTGAGTGTGAGTGTGCCAGTGGGGGAACTTTCCAACTTGGTGAGGGGACCCGTCCCCAGTCTGACAGTGATTTCTCACAGACTCCTGCTCAGTATTCCCTAATGGAGAAGGATGCCCTCAAGGTGGCCCAAGAGATTCAGGCTGAGTACTGGGCAGTGTCCTCCCTCACTGGTGAGTGGGGGCCAGCCTTCTGCTATGTGCTGTGGCTGGGCCCAGTGTTCTGGGCATACTGTCCCCCCTGAGCACCCATTTCTGCTCCCCATGTCAGGTGAGAATGTCCGGGAATTCTTCTTTCGTGTGGCAGCATTGACCTTTGAGGCCAACGTCCTGGCTGAGCTTGAGAAGTCGGGGGCTCGGCGCATTGGAGATGTTGTTCGTAAGTGCTTACCTCATTGAAGGTGGCAGAGAGCAAGGGGAGAGCAAAGGAACCCTCCAACCCTGCTTCATATATTTCCCGCCCTTTTTTAGGCATCAACAGTGATGACAAAAACCTCTACCTAACTGCCAACAAGAAAAAGACCACATGTTGTCCCTGATGAGTGAGGATTATCCAGAAACTGCCCATTCCTGGGGTGCTGTGCCACCCCAGCTGCTTCAGAATTCAACCCCTGGATGTTTGCACTGACTTTTTTCAGACCAAAGAGCTGCCCCTTAAAGGAAGTGCCCCCAGGGGTAACTGGGACCATGCTAGTCACTTCCTGCCCCTGGCACCATGCCAAAGACTGGATGACCCTACTCCTCTGGTGCTGGGGCTCTCCAGGGTGCTTAGGGAGGGAATCAGTGTTCGTGCTGCTTTTGCTTAGCCTGCTGGCCCTTTATTATGATGATGCTTAATAATTCCAGCCTTATTCTGTGCCTTATGCATTAAAATCTGTTTATTAGCATTTTCTGGACTGGAGTCCTTTAGAGAGGATAATAGATGTAGAATGGGTAGGGACATGTAGTACTTTAGGGACTGGAGCCCCTGTGGGGATTCTGCCTATTTCTGCCCCTAAGACAGGGTTCACACTGGCTGACACCTCAGAGACCAGGTTTGGAGGACTGACTGTATCCTCTAGATCCTCATTGGGTTAAAATCTGATTAACTACATTTTTTATTCCCTGCTGTTTTTCTTTCTTCCTCTCTGTCTCCCTCTCCCTCTCTCTTTGAGGCAGGGTCTCTTGTAGGCTAGCATGACCTCTAAATTAATATGTATCTGATTACTGTGTGATAGTGTCCCTAGAGAGACATGAACAAACCTGTTTGTCCCAGATAGGGAATTGATGACAGACTAAAGTAAGGCTATGTATCATCTAAGTCCAACTTGATGAACCAGTGAGTTTTTGTTTTTTGTTTTTTTGTCTGTTTTTAGGAGACTGGGTCTCTCTATATTGTTTTAGAGGCTGTTGGTCCAGCCCGGTCTCGAACTAGCCCTTATTGTCTTAAGGCTTCTTGGGCCTCTTTGGTCAGCAACTTCTACAGAGGTAATGTAACCCTAGCACTGGGCACTGGGGGTTTATATTTATTTTTGAGATAGGGTTTTATGGTGAGCCCCAGGTAACCTGGACCTCAGAGATCCTCCTGCCTCTGCCTCCAGTTCGAGGCACACGCCATCACACTTGGCCTTGTCCCTAACTATTTATTTATTTATTTATTTATTATTTATTTTTTGGTTAGGGTCTCCTTAGATAACACTTGCTGTCCTAGAATTCACTGTGAAGACTAGGCTAGCCTCAAACTTAAATCTGCCTATGAGTGTTTGGATTAAAGGTGGGCACCAGGGATAGAGATGACTCAGTGGTTAAGAGCAATGGCTGCTCTTTCAGAAGACCCCAGCTCAATTCCCAGCACCCACATGGCAGCTTACAATTGCATGTAACTCCAGGACTAAATATGCAAGCGAAACACCAGTACACATTTAAAGAAAGGCTAGCACCATCGTGCCCAGCCTGCACTTTTTTTTTTTGTTTTGTTTTTTTGTTTTTACGAGACAGGGTTTCGCTGTATTGTTTTGGAGGCTATCGGTCCAGCCCGGCCTCGAACTCACAGAGATCCGCCTGCCTCTGCCTCCTGAGTGCTGGGATTAAAGGCGTGTGCCACCACCGCCCGGCGTGCACTCTGTTTTTTGAGGCACACATATCCTGGTTTTGGAAAGTACTTGGAGGTAAACTGAGAGATGTGGTGTGGAATATCTGCGAAGCAGCTCTCATTCTTTCACTGTCTTTTTTTGGTTTTTCGAGACAGGGTTTCTCTGTGGCTTTGGAGGCTGTCCCTGAACTCGCTCTGTAGACCAGGCTGGTCTCGAACTCACAGAGATCCATCCGCCTGCCTCTGCATCCAGAGTGCTGGGATTAAAGGCATGCGCCACCACCGCCTGGATCTTTCACTGTCTTGTGTCTATTTCTATCTCTGTCACACAGCTCTGGGTTCCTTTTACAGAGCTGGTTAATTCAGTGTGCACTGGAGAAGCCACCTCGGTACTGCAGTGCTCCCATGAGCCTGAGTGTGGAGTTCTGTGATCTGCATGTGGGGGTGGGCGCACATATCGTTAAATTAGGTCTGGGTATTGTGTGTAGACTTCGGGCATCATTGTGCATGGTATACAAGTGTGCGTGTTGTGTTTGAGGATGTAAAGGGTGGGTACTGGGACGAAGTTGCCATGAATTGTAGGCCAACTTACTGTCTGGGCAGGATAATGAGCTGAATGGGGCCAAGGACCAAGAGGCCTATGGGCCTGGGAGGAAACCTAAAGGGTGGAGCTGGGGTGGATGGATCTAGAGGTCTGGAAGTGTGGGAAGGTACCATACACAGTGGAGGAGAGCCAGCATGTCATCAAGGAGACCAAAGTCAGGACGCCCGTATGCCACTTTCAAGAAGACTGCTCCCAGAAATGTCAGTGGCAGACCTAATGGATGCCCCGGCCTCAGAAGGCGGGGCGGGTCCCAAAGTGCAAAGGCGCTTGAGATGGGAAGGGGCGGGGCCAGTACCTGCTGGAGCGGAGTTTCGGTCGGGTTTTTCTAATAGCAGGGACCAGCGAGGAGCTCTAGGCATGCGACTGAGTTCTGGGTCCGTAAGGTAAGGACAAAAGCAAGTACTGGCGTTAAGGGTGTGACGAAGGGACCTGGAAGGAGCTGGAGATCCCGGATGAAGAACACGACTGACGCTTATACCCGGGCTGGAAGACGGGGAAGGGGGAGGCGGTCTGGTGGTTGGGCAAGCATGAGGTGGAGCTAGGGGCTGGACTGGAACTCAAAGCAGGGCCGACGGTTCCACCAAGCTGAGGTTCAACGTTGATCTCCGCGAGGTAGAGTCCTGTAGAAGAACTGGCTGACAGCGATGTGGGTCAGGACGACAGTAACGATTAAAAGATGGACTGAGGAAAAGCCTGGCTGCAAAACTGACATTTGGAAGGAGAGCAAGAGCACCGGTAAAGGGGCGGGGCAGAAAGCTGGGGGCGTGATTGGGCGGGGCTCTGGAAGATTGCCTTACTTGGCCTGGAGCAATCGCTTCCCAGCCAAGGCATAACTATTGATCTTTTGGCTGCAGCCGCTGGCCTAGCTCGCTGCTTCAGAGGCGCGAAGGCTTCGGCTAGAGCCCTCCTGGCCCTTTGCTCCCCCGGGTGCTGGGGCTGGGTGATCGCTTCCATTGACCTTGAGGGCGGGAAAGAGTGAGGATTCCACGAGTGACATCATAATCACCTCCAAGATAGAGCCGGAGCCCGGGAGACATTTCCCAGGAGAAGACTCACTCACTGGCCTTCTCTTGGATCCTCCTCTTCCTTCATCTCCCTGTTTCTTCTCTCTTCACACCGTCTCCTTTTGGCCACTCTGGTGCCTATCCTCTGGGCCTCAAAGGGAGGGGAGGGGCTTCGCATGACAAGGAAGATCCTCCACAAATGAGCATCACCAAGGAGTTTGAGTTAGGCCCCTGCTACCTGTCCCAAGGAAGAGACCTCATCTTTTCTCCTCCTTTCAAGCTATTACCCACCCTTATTCTGCTGCAGGAACTCTGGAGTGCTGCCTGGGTCACTGCCCCCTGCATCCCCTGTAGACAAAGGGGCAAGCTGCCTTTCTAAATCCCGCTCCTCTTGGATCCTTCCTACTTTCCCTCCCAAACAGCTGATGTTGTCAGCATCCACTAAGAGTATTAGTGGAAAATGAACAGGCTTCAACCCCGACAAAGTCTGTTCATAGTGACTGCAGGTAGGAAAACCAGCGGTCTGGTCCTGACCTAGGCACAGGCCATTACTGGAATGCCTTTAGGGTTCAAACTGAATAGGGGAGGCTGTGGATCAGGATTAAGAAAAATCGGAAGTGAGGAATTAGCAATGTTGGAGATTAAAAGCAAGAGTTTTAGGGGATGGCAACTGGATAGGGAGTTGAATCTAGTTTGAAGACTTAGGAGGCTCTGGAGCTTGTGGCATAGGGTGACCCTTGGCTTATGTGTTTCCTTAGCCAACAAAGTACACAGGGCTAAAAGCAGCACACAGGCGAGGGAGCCAAGAAGACAGGGCTTTACTCTGCCTCTGCTATCTATTACCCTTCACCCTGGGCAGGTTACTTAGCCTGTCTGAGTCCCTTGCTATACAATTTGGATTCAAAGTCACAGTTTACAAGCCCACTTTAAGGTCTAGCACTGTGAAAGTGTATATCCTGGGAAATATCTCACCCAGAAAAATTCTCAGGAGAGCTGAGGACTTGGGTTATAGCTCATAGGTAAGAATGCTTGCTTAGTGTGTACTAAACCCTGGATCTGAGTCCCAGAGACTTCCCCTACTTCTTCCAAAATAAAGCCCCAGTCAAAATAACTAAGTAAATAGAGTGAGCAGAGGGGCTCATGTTGATAATTCTAGTACTTGGGATGATAAGGCCAGAAAACTACCATAAATTCAAGGCCAGCCTGAGCTATGCGGGAATTTCTAGGCCAGCCTGTGACTATGAGAAACAGTCTCAAAAATAAATGTATAAAAAGATAAAACATGGGCTGGAGAGATGGCTCAAAGGTTAAGAGCACTGGCTGCTCTTCCAGAGGACCTGAGTTCAATTCCCAGCAACCATATGGTGGCTCACAACCATCTATAATGAGATTTGGTGCCATTTTCTGGCATGAAGGAATACATGGAGGCAGAATGTTGTACATATAATCTTAAAAAAAAAAACTTAGCCGGGCGGTGGTGGCACACGCCTTTAATCCCAGCACTCCGGAGGCAGAGGCAGGCGGATCTCTGTGAGTTCGAGGCCGGGCTGGACCGACAGCCTCCAAAAGAATACAGAGAAACCCTGTCTCGAAAAACAAAAAAACAAAAACAAAAAACAAAACCAAAAAAAAAAACTTAAAAAAAAAAAGATAAAACATACTGTCTAGATTTGAGCCAGGGACAGACTCTCTAGTGCCTCTTTGTGGCTCAAATAGTGAATTTACCTATTTCAATAGGAGACTGAACAATGACAGCTATTTCCATGATTCTCTGAATACAGAGGCAGATGAAATATATAGTCATTATTCTTAAGAACTACAGAGTAAATACAGGAATATCACAGGTCCTAGAACTATGGCAGCAGGTCAGCAGGCACATAAAACACACAATTAATTCCACTTGGACACCATTGGTGTTTGTCTGAGACAAGGTCTTGCTAGTCCTCCTGCCTCAGCCTACCAAGCTCTAGGACAACAAACGTGTGCCATTCTGGGCAACAACATTTTCCCACTGAGTTGAGCAGATAGCACTTGAGAGAGAGCAGCAGGGGAGAAAAAATGGAAAAATGAGTCAGTAGCGCAAGCCTTTAGGCCTAGGACTTGGGAGGCAGAGACAGGAGGGTCTCTGTGAGTTCAGTCAGCCTGGTCTACAAAGTGTGTTCTAGAACAGCCAGAACTGTTACACAGAGAAACCCTCGCTTCATGGTGAAGGAGGAAGGATGTAAGCCAGGCTGGTGCCACATGCCTATGTCCCGGTACAAGGCAGGCAGGAATGTGGTAGAAAGAAGTGTTGTGGGCCAGCTGGTATTCTACAAAACTCAACTCAGGAGGCAGAGACAGGCGGGTCTCTGTGAGTTCAAGGTCAGCCTGGTCTACAAAGTGTGTATGGAGGGCTGAAGAAAGGTAGTGAGGACCGGAGGTGGGGAGATCAGGCAGGAAGTTATAGCTGCATCCTAAGTCAGATTTAGCTTGGCTTTGTGGCTCAAACTTCTAATCCCAGCATTTAGGAGGCAGAAGCAAGCAAGCCAGCCTGCACAGTGAGACTCTGCCTCAAAAACTACAAACAAACAAACAAACAGAGGTGATAGGGCCGGGCGTTGGTGGTGCACGCCTTTGAGGCATGCAGATCTCTGTGAGTTCGAGGCCAGCCTGGTCTACAGAGCAAGTTCTAGGACAGCCTCCAAAACAATACAGAGAAACCCCGTCTCAAAAAACAAACAACAACAACAAAAAAAAAAAAAAAAAAAAAAAAAGAAAGAAAAAACAACCTCCCCCCAAAAAACAAAAACACCAAAACCAGGGGGCTGGAGAGATGGCTCAGAGGTTAAGAGCACTGACTGCTCTTCCAGAGGTCCTGAGTTCCCAGCAACCACATGGTGGCTCACAACCATCTGTGATGAGATCTGGTGCCTTCTCTTGGCTTGCAGACATACATAGAGGCAGGATGTTGTATTCATAATAAATAAATAAAATCTTTAAAAACAAAACAAAACACCAAAACCAAAACAAACAAAAAAAGGAGAATAGTGGAGGAGAAGGACAACACTGGAGACAAACATCAGGTGGGGTGGGCCATACGGCGGACTGTGTTACAGACAAGCTAGTCAAAGCTGAGAGGAGCCGGGCGTTGGTGGTGCACGCCTTTAATCCCAGCACTCGGGAGGCAGAGGCAGGCGGATCACTGTGAGTTTGAGACCAGCCTGGTCTACAGAGCTAGTTCCAGGACAGCCTCCAAAGCCACAGGGAAACCCTGTCTCGAAAAACCAAAAAAAAAAAAAAAAAAAAAAAACCCAAAAAAACAAAAACAAACAAACAAACAAACAAAGCTGAGAGGAGTGGCTATACCAACAAACCTACAGATAGGATTATACTGAATAGAGAAGAACTTCAAAGCGTTTTCACTGAGACCAAGAATAAGACAAAAAGGTGACTCATTTTCTCCACTCTTTTGGAGCTGTCTGTCTGCATGACACTGGAACTCGTTCAGCAGACCAGGCTGGCCTTAAACTCAGAGATCTGTCTGCCTCTGTCTCCTGAGTGCTGGGACTAGGGGTGTGCCACCACTGCCTGGCCATCCACTCTTCATAATAGTGTTTGAAGTGTTAGCTAGAGCAATAAGACGAGAAGGAAATGAAAGGGACATAAATATGTGTCATTATTTGGAGATATGACCCTATACATAAGAGATGAGAAGGATCCCACTAGGAAACTATAGTAGAGCTGATACTTTCAACAAAGTAGCTGGCTACAAGATTAGATTACAAAAATTAGTAGCAAGCAGTGAGATGCTCAGCAGGTAAAGCTGCTGACCACCAGGCCTGATGGCTGGAGTTTGATCCCCAGGACCCACGTGGTGGAAGGAGAGAGCTGACCCTGCAGGCTGTCTTCTGCCCTACACACTCGCAATGTGGCATGCATGCCCACACATAAACTCACAAATAATGTGGGGAAAGCAAGGAAATAACCTCATTCGCAAAGAACTGAAATAACAAGAAATCCTTGGAATAAGCTTGATCCAGGAAGTGAAAGACCTCAACAGCTGAAACTTTAAAAAATTAAATAAAGACAATAAAAGATGAAAGACCTCCATTTTTTTTTCTTCTGTTTTTCGAGGCAGGGTTTCTCTATGGCTTTGGAGGCTGTCCTGGAACTAGCTCTTGTAGACCAGGCTGGTCTTGAACTCACAGAGATCCGCCTGCCTCTGCCTCCCGAGTGCTGGGATTAAAGGTGTGCGCCACCAACGCCCAGCAAGACCTCCCATTTTTATGGGTTGGGAGAACTGATACTATGAAAATGGCATTTTACCAAAATCAGTCTACAGATTGAATGTACTCCAAATTAAAACTTCAATGTCAGCCTGGGGTTGGTGGCGCACGCCTTTGAGGCACGAGGATCTCTGTGAGTTCGAGGCCAGCCTGGTCTACAGAGCAAGTTCTAGGACAGCCTCCAAAACAATACAGAGAAACCCCGTCTCAAAAAACAAAACAAAACAAAAAAAAAAGAAAGAAAAAACAACCTCCCCCCCAAAAAACAAAAACACCAAAACCAAAACAAACAAAAAAGGAGAATAGTGGAGGAGAAGGACAACACTGGAGACAAACATCAGGTGGGGTGGGCCATATGGCAGACTGTGTTACAGACAAGCTAGTCAAAGCTGAGAGGAGCCGGGCGTTGGTGGTGCACGCCTTTAATCCCAGCACTCGGGAGGCAGAGGCAGGCGGATCACTGTGAGTTCGAGACCAGCCTGGTCTACAGAGTGAGTTCCAGGACAGCCTCCAAAACAATACAGAGACCCCCCTGTCTCAAAAAACTAAAAAAAAAAAAAAAAAAAAGATTTATTACATATACAGTATTTTGTCTGCATCTATGTCCACAGGCCAGAAGAAGGCACCAGATTTCACTACAGATGGTTGTGAGCCACCATGTGGTTACTGGGAATTGAACTCAGGACCTCTGGAAGAGCAGTCAGTGCTCTTAACCTCTGAGCCATCTCTCCAGTGTCATAATTCTAGTTCTTATGCCTCCTTCTGGCCTCAGAAAAACAATAAAGAGTGAGGTGACAGTGTATCCATTACAGGGGCTTGGGGCAATCAGACACTGGGCTACCTCTTCCCCAGGCTGGAGTTTATAGAGGCAGCCACAGGAAGTGACTGTGATATTATCTGCAGAGGGGAACAGTAGTGGTGTAGGAATCTTCAGAAAGTGCTCATCATTTTTTTTTTTTTTTTTTTTTTTTGGTTTTTTGAGACAGGGTTTCTCTGTGGCTTTGGAGGCTGTCCTGGAACTCGCTTGGTAGGCCAGGCTGGTCTCGAACTCACAGAGATCTGCCTGCCTCTGCCTCCTGAGTGCTGGGATTAAAGGTGTGCACCACCAACGCCCGGCTCAAGTGCTCATCATTTAATGATTTCTTTTTCTTTTTTTTTTTTGAGACAGGGCCTCACAATGTAGTCCTGTCTGGCTTGGAACTTGGTATGCAGACCAGCCTGGCCTTAAATTCACTCTCAAATGCTGGGATAGAAGGTGTGTGCCGCTGGGCGATGGTGGCAGGAGGCAGAGGCAGGCGAATCTTTGTGAGTTCAAGACCAGCCTGGTCTATAAGAGCTTGTTTCTCAAAAGACCAAAAAAAAAAAAAAAAAAAAAGTGTATGCCACTATACCTGGCTTGTTTTTTTGTTTTTTGTTTTTTTCCAAAACAGTGCCACCACCACTGGCCTTTCTTGTTTTTTTTTTTTTTGTTTTTTGTTTTTAAGACAAGGTTTCATATAGCCTAGATTAGCTTCAAACTCAGTATGTAGCTGAAGATAACCTTGAACATTTGATTCTACCTCCTAGATGCTGGGAAGACAGTGTGTCTCAACGGCTGGCTCCACACTCCATTTTCTAAGGAGGGTGCTTTTCTAATTCAATTCCTTTAACAAAGCTAATCCATAGTTTAGTGGCAGAGCACTTTCTTAGCACGCATGAGGCTATGGGCTCTATAGGATGAAACAAAGGTGCTCTGCCGAGGGCCACCCTCTGCCCAGGCTCCACACACTCGGACACTGCCCTCCCTGCCTCACCCCTCCAGTCTTGGCAGGTTGGCAATGTTCTGCAGCCTGCTCCCTCCCCTATTTCATTACACTGCTGCTATGTCGCTCTTTGCATCCCTTTCCTAACCTCCCTCAGCCTCTGGGCCTCAACATGCTCCGTTTCTTAGGAAATGCTTAGTGAATAAATGTCTTGGGGAGGTGGCTGCTGTCACTGTTGCCATTTTGTACTCTCAGATATGAGCAGGTTGCCCAGCTGGAAGAGGGGACATGCGGCTAGTGTGGAGTCCAGCAGTGACGTGTCTTCCTTCTCCTCTGAAGGTGGGTCCAGGGGACCTATGGCCCCCAGGGGCTACATTACCCCTTATTTGTGAAAGCTAACACCTCGGGGAGGGAAGGGATCTCGAAGAGAAGTGACTACCCAGATGCCCCAGGGTTCAGAGAAATGGTTCAATGGGTAAAGGTGCTTGCTGATAACTTGATAACCTGAGTTTGATCCCCAGGATCCACATGGTGGGGAACCCAGCCATACTGTCTTCTAGAATGCCAGAGAGCCCCTTCCTTGAGTCCTGATCACCCCGTTCCTTTGTAGAATTTTATGGTACACAAGCATGAATTGAGTCCCTCTAACCCTGCACAATAGCTATCTCTGTCTTAGGTTGTCTTATTGACAGAGCCAAGCCTTGGCATGACTGACTCCAGGCTCAGGGCAGATGCCTCTATGCTGCCCTTTGCCTCAATTAACAGTGCCAAAAAAAAAAAAAAAAAAAAAAGCAGGGGTGATAGTCCAAGGTCCTGCTGTACACATCTCCCTTACTTCCCCTGGGGAGAAAAGGCACAAGAGAAAGTGGGTGAGGGGTGTTGGGGGAACTTGGAAGCCTCAGTCTTGTGGGTGAAAGGGAAGCACTGCAGGAGAAAGTCAGACCACACTGCTGTCTTCTCTCTCATGCATTTTTATGGACACTTGGGTTTCCACATGCTCTGTCTGGGTTAACTTCTGCTGTCCAATGTCCTGCCCAGTGCTACCACTCCCAGGGGCTGGATAAAGTCATAACCACCAAGGCCCCTTGAGGGGTAGCCAACCACAACATTCCTGGCATGGATGTGGAACTCATCACTTCCTCCTACAGCAGGGCTGTCCCTGATACCCAGGAGCCTGCTGTAGGGTCCCTCTGAGACCGGGGTAGGAGGCAGGGCTGTTGAGAGGTTTTTTTAACCTTTTAGATGGGAGCAGAGAAAAATCAGGGGTTGCCTGGAACACTAAGTAGGGTCAGAGAGGAAGCACTGGGAGCCCCATGAAAAACCCATGTAGCTCAGTAAGAAGTGGGAACCTTCCCAGCATTTGGGAAAGGGACATAGTATCACTTTGCCTAATTCATAGACCAGGCAGGTTCTTGAGCATTTGGTGGCTTTGGAGGAGAGAATGTGATGTTAAAGCCACCCCCCAACCCCCCCGGTTTCTCTGTGTAGCCCTCCCTGGCTGTCCTCAAACTCCAAGAGATCTGCCTGCCTCTGCCTCTGGAGAGTTCTTAGTGATTTTTTTTTTTTTTTTTTTTTGGTTTTTCCAGACAGGGTTTCTCTGTGTTGTTTTGGAGGCTGTCCTGGAACTCTCTCTGTAGACCAGGCTGTCCTCGAACTCACAGAGATCTGCCTGTCTCTGCCTCCCGAGTGCTGGGATTAAAGGTATGCGCCACTAACGCCTGGCCTTAAAGTGATTTTTATAAACTTATTGTGTGGCTGTCACACCATGGCACACTCGTGCAGGAGCCAGCTCTGGGTTTCTCTGTATTGTTTTGGAGGCTGTCCTGGAACTCGTTCTGTAGACCAGGCTGCCTCGAACAGGGATCTGCCTGCCTCAGCCTCCCGAGTGCTGGGATTAAAGGAATAAAGGTGTGCACCACCAACGCCCGGCCTGGTTCTCTCCTTTTACCTTCACCTGCTAAGAAAGGTGTCAGGGTGGGGCAGGAAGGGAGCTAGGTGGAGAGGGAAGCAGACAGAAGGGCACAGGGTAAGGAGCCGCTGGAGAGGCCTAACTACCACACGACCCAGGTTGCCCCACTGCCATTCAGGTGGAGGGCACCAGAGGGAGGGCACCCGGGCCTGTGCGGGGCACATGGCAGAGCTGAGGCTGCAATTGTGGGCTTGTTTGCCAGACAAGGCCATAGCCATTCCCTATCTGGCACTGTGGAGTGTGGTGGCTGGTGGTTACCAGCAGTTGGCGAGGGCAGTGGTCAGTAGAGGGCCCAGGGTAGCAGCTCCACAGAGGAGAGGAAGTAGCCAAGGCGATACAGTGCAGCAAGCTTGGAAGGGCTTCTGTATCTCATACGTGGCAGTTTTCCTGGGTCCAAGACAACTCTATATAGTGGCTAAGGGCACAGGGTAGTGCAGGGACCTGTAGTGACTGCTTACTGGAGTTATCACCTCTGATGATAACAGCTGTGGGGAACCGGGTAGCAGAGGGATTTGATGAAGTGTGAAGACAGGTGTGCTCGGCTGCCTCCAAATGACCCAGATCCCTCTTCCCTCAGGTGAATGCAAGGAGACTGACAGGTGTTGCTGGAAACACCGGCAGTGTGCTGGGCATATCATCCACCCCTTCTCGGACTGTGGCCATCACAACCGGCACATGCACGCTGTCAGCCACTGCGACTGTGAATCTAGGTGAGGGCCCCCTTTATGGGGGACCCATTCCCTTCAGGGTTCCCTCTGCAGTTTTGGCCTGGTGCTGCCAGCCTAGCCCCAGCTTTTAAACCCTGCTCTGCTCCAAGAACAATGAATGGGGAGCTCTCTTGGCAGCCTGGGCCAAGCCCAGAAGCAGCTGGCTGTCCCTCTGGGCCCCTGGGGAGTCATGGAGGTATGGGAGCCAAGCTGAGAGTCTGGTGTGTGGCAGGCTGAAGGATTGCTCAGAGAAGACAAATAGTAGCAGCTCCCGAGATGTAGGCCCGACCTGCTCCAGAGACGGGGGCTCAACCTGCTACAACATCATCCATACCCCTTGCTTTGAACTCATCCCAGAGGAAAAGTGTATGGAGCGGACCTGGTACAGCTGGTGAGTGCCAGCTGGCTGATGGGGACAGGATTCCAGGGTGCCCTGCCTCAGCTCCATCTCTTCCTGTCCCTCCCCTCCAGGTGCAAAAGCTACAGGCCTGTCTCTGTGGCAGTAATCCACCATCCTATCCACCATGTGTGTAGGACAGATGACCTAAATGAGGAGGATGAGGACGGAGAGACCCCGCCTCCCATCCCAACTCAGTTGTGTCCCAAAGCCACATCTACTGACCTAGACATCAGGTCAGTCCCTGGGGCTCCTGACTCAGCAGCGCCCATCACCATCTGGCGTTCTGAGAGCCCCACAGACAAGAGTCAGGAGGGCAAGGCCATCAAGAAGATAAAGAAGAAAAAGGAGAAGGAGAAGGACAAGGAGGATGAGATGGCGGATGAAAAGGCAAAGTTGAAGAAGGCCAAGAAGGGCAAGTTAACTAAGAAGAAAAGCCCCGTGAAGTCAGAGTCTTCCCCTCCAGACTTGAGTAGATCACTAAGCCCAAGAGAACTAGTCAGGGCCTCAGAGTCCAGCCCAGAAAGCCGGGAAGAGCTGGAGAGTGAGGATAGTTATGAACGGGGTAAAGAGGGGCCCTCCAGCGAAGATATTGTGGAGTCATCATCGCCCAGGAAGAGAGAGAAGAGCATTACCCAGACCAAAAAGAATGGTACAAAGACCTTACAAACCAGGAAGATAAGCAAGAGAAAATCTCCCCCAGTGTCTAACCCCAATCTTAGTTGAGGCCTGGGCAACCAGAGTGAATAAATTGTCTGTAACTGACCCCTACTGCTATTCTCTCTCCCTCCAACAGGCCTCTTCTTGGGGGAGGTGGCTGGCTGGGGGTCAGGGGATACTCAAGGGGCAGTCCTGCTTTCAAGGAGTAAGTCTATGTCTATGGGAAGTTAAGTAGGAGGGAGAGAGAACCCTCCAGGACTAGGTGGCAGAGTCCATTTAGGGAGACGGGAGACCAGCGTTGTCTGTGAAACTCATTCTGTGGCAGGCAGCACTCACGCAGCACCACCTTCAATAAACCGAACCTGCCTATCACCTGGCCTGCCTTTCCCTCCTCAAGTGCTCCAAAGGAAGGGCTGTGGCACCGCAGAGGACGTCATCTTCCCAGCTGGTGCGGTCCCAGTCTTTTTCCTCCCTTGCAGCAGACCTCCATGCTGGAGAAAGTAGAGTTCCAGCAGAAGGCCACCCTTTCCCACCAACACAATCAAAGGATGAGGAAAAGTGGGTACCAGCTCAAATACAGGCAGCTGTGGTGACCCAAGCAGAGACACAGGAGGGGAGGCCTTCCTTTCCCACAGTGAATCACTGTGAGATGAAGCCTGTGTGAAGGAACAGGGAAATCAGACATGAAGAAGAAAGAAGACCGTGGAGGAGCCAGAGCCAGGGGCTGGCTGACACCGAGTCAGGGGGGAAAGGGGTGGGAAACAGCCCCTCTCCCACAGTCTGTGTGTCTGAGGGTGAGCAGGTGAGGGGGCGGGCTTCTCAGAGGCTGCCAGACACCAAGCACAGCTGGAAGTGAAGGGGTGCAGGGGCTCAGAGACTTACTTTTCACACCCTGGGAGACGATGAGAACACAGTAGTTTGTGGCCAAAAACTGCCAGGCCCAGGCCCAAGTCCTGGCCCTGGCTTAACATTTCGTATTGCCCTGTGTGTCACCACCTCCTTTTCACAGATAGGACAGCCCACGTAAGACAGAAGAAGCTGCTAGAGAGATGGCCCAGCAGTTAAGAGCATTTACTGCTCTTGCAAAATACCTGAGTTCCTAACACCCATGCTCATAGCCACTTATGTGTCATTCCAGTTCCAAGGGATGCAAAGCCCTCTTTTGGTCTTCCATGCACCCACCCATCCCATACATGCACATACATACTTAAAAATAAGTGGGGGATTGTGGTGCACACCCTTAACTTTAATCCCAGCACTCAGGAGGCAGAGGCAGGTGGATCTCTGAGTTCAAGGGCAGCCTGATCTACGGAACGAGTTCCAGGCAGTCAGGGTACACAGAGAAACCCTATCTCAAAAAACCAAGAACAAACAGACAGATAAAAAACCAAAACCAAAAAACCTTTAAGCTCACATGAGTGCCATTCCTGCAATTCTTGCATTCAGGAGGCAGAAGTAGGATTGCTGTAACTCCAAGGCCAACCTGGGCTAAAAACTCCACCTCAATATAGCTAATGAAAGATGTAAGAAGTTCACAGAGTCATGGGGCTCAGATCAGGGAGGTGACCACAGGTAATCTGAATTCTGGCCTCTTTGAAGGATTCTGAGAGGAAGGTTTTGAAGTTCCAAACTGCTTTGAAGCAGCCCCTCAGAGCAGGGAGCTGGAGAGAGGCCTTGGAAAGTGCTCTGTAGAAACCCTGTTTATTCAAATGGCAGGTGAGAAGCAGGTGGCTATAGGTGGATGAGGTTAGGTAGGCAGTGGCTGGCGTCAACACTGCTCCATATGTCCCCCACATCAGGACCAAAACCACTCTCTCTCCTCCCTCCTGCCTCAAACTGAATAAATAGCATCGGTCTCCCCACAAGGGCTGGGGACATGTACAAGCTGAGCCTGATACCTCATCGGAGCCTGTATCAGGTGATGGCAGAAACTCAAGAATGGCTTCTAGGGAGATTACAGACTGCTCCACTTCCATTCTTCTCCTCCCCGCTATATTCCTCTCCCAGCCTGGTCCTAGGACAGGTGGTTGGCACAGGTCTGGAGTGGGAGAACTGCTCCTTGGTGCACACCAGCTCACAAGGCCATCCAGTCTGCCACCCATCCAGGCTGACCATTAAAGAGAATGTCATTTCATGCCACTTTATGGACAAAAAAAGGGTCAGGGAGTGAGGCTGTGGATGGCCAAGCCTCTTGGAGCCTCAGAGGTAACCAGAGTCCGAGGAGCAGGCCCCTACCGATCCATCTCATCCAGGAGCGGGGTCGCATCACCCGCAGTGGACATGGGGGTGCTTTCAATCATGGGACTGGGAGAAGGTCGAGGGGTCAGCCGCTGTTTCTGTTTCCGCCGTTCTGCCTCCTTCTCCTGCAGCCACTGCTCAGCCATCTTGCCCCAGTCAATGGCTGCATGGCTGTTGGACCTGGAGCAGCAAGAAAGGAAAGGCCTTAAGAGACAGGATTCTTCTGGGATTTGTGAAAAGGAAGTCTTCCCACCAGTCACAGTCCAGAGATCAAAGAAAGGAACCTAACCTGACGCTTACAGAAAGCAGCCTCTCTTGCTCTTCCATTCTTTCCCCAGAAACCAATACCCATGGGAACATCTTACAGGTCTTGCTTTCAAGAAGATTCAGAATGCCTGCTTATGTTACATCTTCAGGCCACATGTTCCTACCAGTAACCTGCCTGTATTCACTTTCCCTGCTAGTAACCAATCCATGTACTTACTTTGGCTGCTGTTGCCGTTGTCGGGAGCTGGAGGAAGGCTGGGGCTGGGCCTGGGTAGACTGTGGAGTAGTGCTGGCTTGGAGCTGGTGGTATTGTGGGGTGGTAATGGGCTGGCTTGGGGTTGTGTAGGAATAGCTGGGGGTCATTAGTGGTGTGGCCACTGGTTGCTGGGCTGGCGTTGGGAACACCTGAAGAGGGGTGGACAGAGAATTAGGGGTAGGTGTGGGCTTGTTTGATTTCATTGCAAATCTCTGACAGGCCATGAGAGTCGGCTCTGAACAGTGCTTTCCAGTTGACCCACCTGGAAGCAGGAGAATAACACTGGCATTCAAAGTTGCCCACTAATCTTGAACACCTCAGGTAGCTTGAGGGTTCCAAATATCCCACAAGGCTCTGTGCAAAGAAAGGCCAGGCCCTTTTTATCCCCCCCCCCCCAGATAAGGAACATCTGTTAGAGATGGTTCCTATGCCTGAGCATATGAAGCTCCTGGTGGAAGGCATGGCTGGAAGTGTCTACAGCACCCAAGTCTGCAGGTAAAGGATGATTGCTTCCTCTTCTCCCAACCCTATTCTGAAAGGATCTTCCCCAAAACACATACATGGTAGGCGCTGCTGCCTCCTCCACTGCCACCATAGCCATACTGGCTGGATGCCCATTGAGCTGGGGTAGCATTGGGGTTCTGTCCTTGACCCGTCACAGCAGCAATGGCACTGAACATCTGCGAAGTCATGTTCTGAGGCAAGGCATTCACAGCCCGTGTCAGATCTGTAAACACACAGATGGCCATGTCAGGGTGTAAATCCCTCCAGTTCTCCACTGCCCTACAAGTCTCAGGCCCAGGCATCCCACCTGCAAGATTGATGTTGGCTGGGGTAGCATTGATAGAAGCAGGGGTCCGGGTCCTGCTGCTGCTACTGGGAGTGATGCCTGTAGGAAACAGATGAAGGCAGTTATGTCCCTCAAGAAAGTCATTGTGGCTTCCCAGGTCAAGAGTCAGAAGAGTCATCCCAGCACTCAGCAGGTGGATCTCTGTGAGTCTGGCACCAGCCTGGTCTACAAATGAGTTCCAGGACAGCCAGAGATGTCACAAAGAGTGTGGAAGAGAACCTGCACAGGTGCACAGGCCAGTGTACAGGGAACCTCCCCGGTGCCGAAAAGCAGGAGCAGGGGTGAGGCAGCGAAGATGATAACTGACTTCATTTTCCTGAACCAGGACCAGTGCCCTTTTATTTTTTTTAAATAAAGATTTATTTATTTATTACATATACACCAGATTGAACTGTAGATGGTTGTGAGCCACCATATGGTTGCTGGGAATTGAACTCAAGACCTCTGGAAGAGCAGTCAGTGCTCTTAACCTCTGAGCCATCTCTCCAGCCCCCACCAGTGTCCTTCTTACCACAGCCTAAAGTCAGGGTACAGTAGAGCTCACCTGGTACAGGATCCTGATAGTGATCCTTAAACCACCTGAAGAGTCCATTCACAGTTGGAAAGATCTGGCCTCGGTACCGGAATCCTTCAGGAGTCACTGTTACATATTCAATCCTGAGATTTTATAAGGAAAAAAGCATTAGAGAGCAGCTTGTCTAGCTAGTTTTATGGTAAGTTGACACAAGCTAGCGTTGTTGGAGAGGAGGGAGCCTCAACTGAGAAAATGCCTCCATAAGACAGGGCTGTAGGCAAGCATGCAGGGCATTTTCTTAATTAGTGATTGATGAGGGAAGGCCCAGTCCATTGTGGTGGAGCCTCCCTTGGGCTGGTGGTCGTGGGCTGGTAAGGAAGCAGGCTGAGTGAGCTAGTAAGCAGCTCTCCTTTGTGGCCTCTGCATCAGCTCCTGCCTCCAGGTTCCTCTCCGTTGAGTTCCGGTCTTGACTTCCATGATGAACTATGATGTGGAAGTGTATACCAAATAATATACCCATCCCCTGCCAACTTGTTGTTGGTCATGATGTTTCATCCCAGCAACAGCAACCCTGAATAAGACACCACTGTGTCCACCTGTGACAAAGTGACCAAATAAGTATCAAGTCATGTGCAGTAACTATCCTGGGTGCTAGAGGAGTGGAGATGACAGGGATAGACCGCACATGACAGTACAATCACGGCTAAGGAGGCAGTGGTCTTGTGTGCTAAGTATAGGCTGCCAGGGGAAGTTGTGCTGGAGGCCGCACTGGATATAGGATGTGTCACTGAAGACAGTATGCTAGGTGAGTGAGACCAAGGTTACAGGACATCAGGTGTCAAGAGGCCTCCCTGGCAGCTCCAGAGAAGCAGGGAGAATTCTTCAGCACTCTAGGTGGTTAGTCTGCCTTCATTCATTACTTCTGAGAATAGCAGAGTAGCTAAGAGAATGGGTCTTAGCTTTATACCTGGTTCTAGTTCTAAGTTTGAGTTCTGCATTTACCACCTATGTGTGCACCAAGCACAACAGCCCTTAAGCCTAAAGAGCTGTCACAAGGAATGACAGAGCAAGTAAACAAGGCAGTCATCATACCTAAACGCAATGCTGTGCTCACTCAACAACAGCCAACAACAGCAGAGACAATGTTAAGCATGGTGAAGGCCTCACCCTCAGCCAAAAACTGCTCTACATATAAGGACACAAGTTAAGGGAGTCTGTGCTCCCTTCTCTGAGAAGCCACCATGTTCAATCTATTGTTCAGGTCCCCAACTTTTTCACATGGTCTTCATGGGACACTTACAGCCTCACAGGACCCTGGCAGCCACTTCAGACAGCGTCTTAAGGCACTGATACAGCAGGAAAGGCATCCCAAAAAGAGCATGACGGTCCTGGTGCCGAGTATGGCACACGGCCCCAGAGCCCCACAAAATGGTTCAAGCTATGTGTCACATGTGGCCAGTCCAGGGCTAGAGCACAAATGTCCTTGGCAAGCGGAGGCTGCCTGGTGCTAGGGCAGAGAAGGCGGGCATGGTTACTAGAGTGTGCATCAGACCTAAGCAGATCAACTGAAGGAAACTGAACACTGCCCCAGGCTCGGGGTGAGCTAGAGAGGTGCAGGAAAAGGAATGGAATGCCCCAGGAAAAGCAGCCTGCCAGTCACACATGGAAGGCAACAGAGTAGGAGACACATCCACTTCACCCACACTCGGTAGTGCACAAGAGATACACATTGTGGCATCAGCGGGCCACCATGTGCTGAAAGTTCTAGAAAGACGAAGGAGGGAAACTTCCCAATCACTGTAGTGCCTGGGGGAATGGTGGTGAAGGGACTGCTTTTCCTTTTCTAATGTGAATGAGGGTGCTTTTTTTTTTTCCCCCGAGACAGGGTTTCTCTGTATTGTTTTGGAGACTGTCCTGGAACTCGCTCTGTAGACCAGGCTGGCCTCGAACTCACAAAGGATGCTTTTCTTTCTTTTTTTTTGTTTTTTTTCGAGACAGGGTTTCTCTGTGGCTTTGGAGGCTGTCCTGGAACTCACTTTGTAGACCAGGCTGGCCTCGAACTCAGAGATCCTCCTGCCTCTGCCTCCCGAGTGCTGGGATTAAAGGCGTGCGCCACCAACGCCCGGCAGGATGCTTTTCTTAAGTGACTCTAAGCTTACTTGCCTCAGGCATGTCCAACCTTTTGACACCATGACACAACAATGTCATTTACAAAGTTTACACACTTGAGAACATCACAATCAGCTTACTGAAAAAGAGAGAGAAAGCTGGGCGGTGATGGCGCACGCCTTTGATCCCAGCACTAGGGAGGCAGAGGCACACAGATCTCTGTGAGTTCGAGACTAGCTTGGTCTACAAGAGCTAGTTACAGGACAGCCTCCAAAGCCACAGGGAAACCCTGTCTCAAAAATAAAAAACAAACTAACAAAAACAAAAAACAAAGCAAAACAAACAAACAAACAAAAAATCCAGAGAGGGCGCTGGTGGCACACGCCTTTTAACCTCAGCACTCAGGAGGCAGAGGCAGTCGGATCTCTGAGTTTGGGGCCAGCCTGCTTTACAGAGCAAGTTCCAGGATGACTAGGGCTATACACAGAAACCCTGACTGGCACAAACAAACAGACAGACAAACAGACAGAGGCAGCGACAACCTCCTTCCTTATCTCCAATCACCACTTCTGTTCTGAACAGGTAGGAAGACAAAGGAAGGCAGAACCAGAGTGGTGTGGCTCTCTTCTAGCCTATGTGTGGATCCAACGGCAGTAGTTTCCTAGCACCCCAGTGCTCACCTGGGTTTACCCCGGGGCTGGTATCCTAGGAGGAACTTGCCAGGTAGTTCCTTGCAGGCACAGATGAAGTAAGGGATGAAGGTGGGCTTCTCCTTCTTAGTTTTGATGAGCAGCTCCTCTAACTTCTGAGGGTAGAATGAGGGGGACAGGTTGGGATGGTAAGCATGCCTGGTATGCACACATATACTTCCTTCACCACTGAGTCCCCCACACTCATGGGGATGTGTCTACCCTTAAGAGCCCGGAAGGTTCATGCCACAAGGGTCTCAGCCTCACCTTCCGGTCCCCACCACTACAATCCTGGTAATACTTGTGGTTCAGAAGATCTCGAGCAAAGGAAGCCATGGGCTGGACATAGCGGGCAACAATCTCATCCAAGTCTTCAAATTCCTATAGGAAGAACATCAAGACCTCACATGTCACATCCAAAGTGAAGATTCCTAGCCCTTTATAAACCCACCTTGAAAAGATATGACAGAAGGGGCTGACTTCCACCTCACTCTACTGCAAAATCCCCTCAATTTATCAACTGTTTTGATTAAATCCTAGACACTGGCTCACCAGAATAAACATCACTAACTGTGACGTTTCCCTGGTATTTTGGAACAACTGGGAACTTAGATTTCTCCTTGCTAAACATAGATTAGAGACCTCATGCGCATGTATGCATATACATGTGTTTTTTCTTCTCCCACAATAGTTCTCTCTAGGCAATTTTGAGATTTGAAATATAAGGGAATAAAAGCTAGTAACTTATTCTACAAGTTACCTAGCTTTGTTGCTCTGCATAAACAAAAATATGTATGATGTATCCAAGTTACTGTTAGATGGAAGCAACCAGAAAGAACTGTTCAGTCTTGGCTCTCACCTCACTGTTGATCCACAAAGTGGCTCCCAGGCTGAAGGCATTTTCCTTGCCTTCCTCCCGCACATCCACATGCTGGTAGATACCATCACTGACTTTCCAGGTCACTGTTAGGTGGTTTTCACCCTTGCTGCTGGGTCGGATGATAACATCTCCTTGGTCCATGGTTTCCATCATCTTTTCTGCTTGCTTGAAATTTATGTTATGGAAGGATGGGTGTGCAATCACTCGTTTGATGTATGCTGATTGGGACAGAAGAGAGACAGACCAGGTGGCGGGTTAGGAGCTGACAGCACAGGACATTCATAGACAGCTGACCCACCATGGATTCTGAGACACTTTCTGGACTTGGATTCTCTGATGTGAATGAGCTATCAGCCTCAGTTCTTAGGCTGTTTGAGGAGATCCTAGGTTGCAGTCGTGCTCAAGCTTGCCTTTCATGCCTCTGGGTCTTAGTGCCACGAAAGTGAGCACCCGCTCTCTGGGAAATGGATTCACAAAGCTCTGCACCTAAGTCCTTGAGCATAAGTTGTATTCAGGTACAAGGTCTACTGCTGGGCACTCACTAGTCCGCTGCTGTTTTCGTTTCATGTCCTCTTCCTGCTTGTGGTCTGCTGCTTCGGCATCAAAGTCATAGTAGGTGTCCTTGGGCAGTTTCCACTCATTGTTCCTGTCCATGAGGTCTGAGGTCCGGCAGGTCAGGTCTGCACTGAACTTCTCAATATCGATCTTCATGATACGGCAGTGAACCGTCATTCCCACCTAGATCCACAGAACATGTGAGCTGGAAGGGACAAAGACTATCTAGCCCAATGCTTTATTTCACATAAAAGAACTACAAAGCCTAAGCAGAAAGGTAGGACTTGCCCAAAGCCAGCTACCAAATGGCAGAGCAGTTTTTGGAGTGGGTATGTGAGCACTGTATCCACGCCTCCCAGGATTAGTTGGAAAACTGGAGGATTATCATAAGTATTCCTTCTACACTGATCTGTAAAGCTCATGTCCTTTTTTTCTGACTTGAAAAGTCTGTTCTGTGTCGGATCATGTTGAAAATCCTAGCTTCATTATTAAGAATGTCTTTTTTGAACCCTAAATCTACAGCTCTCCTAGACTTACAGGGTTTGGAGGGTGAATGGAAATGCCCCCTCCATCGCCCACCCAGGGTCATATATTTGCATGCTTAGTCTTCAGATGATGAACTACTGGGAAGGATTAGGAAGCAGGCCTTGTTGGAGCAGGTGTATCACTGGGATTGGCCTTTGATGGTTCAAAAGCCCAGGTCAGGCCCAGTGTTTTTCTTTGTCTATGGATGAGGATGTAAAAACTCTCAGCTATGGCTCTAGAGCCATGTTTATCTGCTTCCCACCATGATGGCTACGGACTAACCTAAAACTGAAAGTAAGCTTCCAATTAAATGTTTCTTGTATAAGTTGCCTCGGCCACGGTGTCTCTTCACAGCAACAGAATAGTAACTAAGACACTGGGCATTTGGCAAATCTGGATTTAGCCATGTCACTGGGTGATCCAAAAGGTACTTAAGATTTCTCTAGAAGAAAAAAGGGAGCCGGAGAGGTGGCTCAAATACTAGAATGCTTCCCCAGCATTCACAAGACCCTAGGTTTAACTCCCAGCATTACATAAAAAACAGGTATGGCATTTTAGCACTTGGGAGGTAGAAGCAGGGAGATCAGAAGTTGAATGTTCTCCTTAGCCACACACCAAGTTTGAGTCAGGCTGGGTTACATGAGACCCTATCTTTGAAAAGAAAGAGTATTTGAAGTTAAAGGTTGAAGTTGAAGGATAATTAAAGGTACTTATGGAATCCTCAATATCTGAGTTTGATCCTTGGAACCCTCATAAAAAAACAGATGAAGAACCATAAAAACTGAGGTATAGTGGTGGTATAGTGATGCCTGCCTTCAAACTCAGCACTCAGGAGGCAGAGGCAGGCAGATCTCTATAATGATCTACACAGCAAGTTACAGTTAGAGCTACACAGTGAGAAGCTGTCTCAAAAAAAAAAAAAACATTCCTTGCAAAAATCCAAATTAATATCCCAAGGTGGAAGGAGATAACCAACTCTGGAAAAGCTACTCCTGACTGCCAAGTGCACAGTGGTGTGTGTATAACCCCCCACCCCCCACACACACGGTGGAGGACAGAACATGGACATACACCCATTGAGTGTCTAGCTGGAGCCCAGTACATGGCAGCCACAGGAGATGACTAGGACAGAAGGGAGTTGGGAGATTTATTGGCAACCTCTCATTTGGAGGTTCCTTCTGTGTGGCCCTGTTCTCCTGAGCAACACTGCTTACAGGGGAGAACAGGCAGAGCTTTCTTAGTTGCCATGTTGGGTGTTACTTCCTGCCATGTGCTGAAACCACAGCTTCCCAGACAGGAAGGAACCCTCTCCTAAAGGGCTGGCCCCAGCAGAAACTGTTTCATAAAGGCAGCAGCAGACAAAAGCCACTACTCATTCAGATGCTCTCAACTGGCTTCTTCCAGTTATTACAAATCCTTTCTGCTCTCACCACCAGAAGTCACTGGGAACAGAGCCTAGCTTCTGGTAGGGGCAGCCCAAACTTAGAATGCCCAACTGGGCCCCTGGAAAGTACACTACTCCTTAGGCCAGCCGCCCATTTACCTTCACTCGCTCCTCTGGCCTCTTCACTACCTTGTCACTGAGGAATTTGGTAGGGATGAAGCCGGTGACACCATTGTCTAGCCGTGTTTTCACACCAATGGCTTGGCCAGGGCATGAACCACTGTCAAAGTGGTTCCAGACCTGAAGAACAGAAAGGAGGTTGATTATTAAGATTCTGGAGCTCCTGTGTTCAGAAAATAGTAATGGGGGTGGTGGGAGAGAGAGATGGAAGAGAAGCCTCAGAGGACCTGCTGGGGTCAGTTCCCAGCTTCACACAGTGCCTTACAACAACTGTAACTCCTATAAGGGGCCAATGCCCTTTTCTGACCTCTGAGGGCACCAAGTACACCCCATGGCACACATATACTCATACAGGAAAACAGTCACCTCTAAAATAAAGTGAATACATCACACACACACAAAAAAAGAGTCGGGTCCCTTTAATCCCAGCACTCGGGAAGCAGAGACAGGCAGATCACAGTGAGTTTGAGGCCAGCCTGGGTTACAGAATGAGTTCTAGAATAGCCAGGGTTGTTACACAGACAAACCCTATCTTGAAAAACAAAACAAAACAAACAAACTAACAAAAGAATAGTCATGGAGCCAGCAAGATGACTCAGTGGGGAAAGGCTCCTGACACCAAACCTGATGACCTTAGTTTGATCCCTGGGATGCATTCAGTAGGAGGAGAGACCCACTATGGTATGTGTACACATATATAAAGTAAGAAAATTAGAAAACTACACAAACACAGAAAAGGGTATCTAAGATTGCTGTAATTTATTCTACCACAGATGTTCGGTACTGGTCTGGAAACACGATCAGCTACTGACCAAGAGACAGTGTGAACGTCTAGAGTTCCTTGACTCTATGAACCATTAGATGAACCTTTAACATTTAACTGACTGACTTCCTTACTCCACAGTAGTCTCTTCTGTTCTGCCCTAGTGATTGTAACAAGTATCGATACAGGAACTTGCTACAGTGGACTTAATAAGTGAAAAACCAGAAAGTGGTAGGTGGCTTTAGGAAAGAGCACGATAGCTGGGTGTGGTAGCGCACACCTTTAATTTCAGCACTAAGGAGGCAGAGGCAAGCAGATCCCTTTGGCCAGTCACATCTACATAGTGAGCTCTAGTCCAGACAAGGGTATATAATGAGACCTCACCTTTAGGAAAAAAAAAAAAGTCAGGCAGGCATATCATGCCTAGAAGAATAAGGGGAAAATAATTAGAGTGGGGAAAATACAAAAATCATACAGAGCCTCCACATAACCTCAAACAAGTCCAAGGACACTCCCTACTCGGTGAGTAAAAGTGCAAATGCTTCAGTCCTAACTTGCTGTAGTGACATACAGAAAGCGAGGCAAGCAAGGGTTCAAGGTTACAGTGACTGCACAGGAATGAAAAAGACACAGTAGCCCCTGAAGGGACTTCATGTTAAATTTGCTTCTCATGAACTGAACTGAAACACTCCCATTTCTCTCTCTTAAGTCACCAGACTTTCCAGTTAAACTCACTACAGTAACACTGCAGCACATACCTCGCTTAGTTCAGGGAAGTTGTCCTGTTGACAGAAGGGGCACTGCCACAGCCCTGTCTCATCATTTCGGATGGCCTGGTCATAGCTTTCACCCTGTGGGCGTCTATGAGCAATGCCAGTGACATTACAGATGATGAGCTTTCCTGCAGGAAAGAAAGCAGGTTAGGAAAATGAATGGAGAGCTGACTCCTTCCCACTACCCTTTGCCGACACATCTTTTTTATGGCATCTCCACTGATCTCTTTCTCATCCAGGGAAACAATGCCTGTAAGCTAACTCCATGAAAGATCTTTTTTGTTTTTTTTTGTTTTTTGTTTTTTCGAGACAGGGTTTCTCTGTGGCTTTGGAGGCTGTCCTGGAACTCGCTTGGTAGTCCAGGCTGGTCTCGAACTCACAGAGATCCGCCTGCCTCTGCCTCCCGAGTGCTGGGATTAAAGGCGTGCACCACCATCCATGAAAGATCTTAAAGCAAGCTAGAAGTAGGACTTTTATTTTGTTCTGGCAGTGTTGGGGATTGAACTCAGGGCCTTGCAAATACTAGAGAAATGCTGCAACAAGGGGCTACTCCCTGAGTCTTCCTTTTACCTTTTGAGACCCATTTTCACCAAGTTACTGTGAATTCATGCTGTAGCTTGGGTTGTCCCCAAATTTACAATCCTCCTGCCTTACCCTCCTAAGGTAAGGTGAGATCACAGGTATGTGCCAACAAGCATGGAAAGAAATCTAACTTGATCTTGACCTCAATTTTGACTAGGCCTTGCATTCTTTCCCAAGAGCTATCCTGGTTAGTTTTGTCAACTTCACACAAACTAGAGACACCTGAGAAGAGGAATCTTCAACTGTGGAATTACCCTATCAGATTTGCCCGTGGACCTGTCTTTGAGGACATTTTCTTGACTGATAGAGTAGGGCCTAGCCTACTGTGGACAGTGCCATTCCTAGTCCTGGGAAGTATAAGAAAGGCAGTTGAATGTGAGCCTGAAGGCAAGCCAATAAAATAAAAGTAAGGAGCGTCCTTCCATGGTGTCTGCTTCTGTCCCGGCTTCCCTCAGTGATTAACTCTAACCTGTAAGGTGTGAGCTTTCCTCATCAAAAGTGCTTTATCACAGCAACAGGAAAGCAAACTACACAAAAGATGTCTTGGTCTTCCTCAACCCTTTTGCTTGTTTTTCGAGACAGGGCTTCTCTGTGCAGCCCTGGCTGTCCTGGAACTTGTTCTGAATGTCAGCCTGACCCTGAACTCAGAGATCTGCCAACCTCTGCCTCCTCCAGTGCTGGGATTAAAGGTGTGTACCACTATATCCTGTAAGCCTTTCTTAACTCCATTGGAATTATTTTCAGTTTATGTGCACGTAGTAAACACCCTGAGTTCCCCAACACAGCATTCTTTGAGTATAAATACAGCATCGTAACTTACCAATGTAGAAGGTCTCCGGTGTCTCTTTGGTTAACATATTGAAGATCTCCTCTGTGTTAGGAGAGCGGTAGGCTGTCCTGAGGTCCTTATACCGACAACTGAGCTCTGCTCGGATATCATACAGTGTGATGTGCTTGTCACCGTAGCCCTGGGGAAGAGGTCCATTAGAAAAGCCTTACAGCCCCCAACCTGACTCACTGGGAACTTTAGTGATGGCAGGTAGCCAGTTTGCACCTGTCTACGCTTTTCTCTAATGTTGATTTACTGAAGGAAATCCTCACTTCTTTCTCTCATCTTCTCCCTCAAAGGTATCTATGCTGCCCAAGTTGTCCCTGGATATGTGATTTTCCTGCTTTAGCCTCCTGAGCAGCTGGGATTATTTATTACAGGTGTGTGCTACTGCTCCTACCTCAATAAAGGAAATTTCAAAGTCACCTGTGGGACACTGTTCTGTAAGGAACATGCATGACGCTCCAGGAAACCCCATGTATAAATGTAAAGCTCTGTTGTTGGAAAGGAGGAATAAGGACCTCCAGGGCAAGCACAGTACACATATCCTTCTCCCTCTGTCCTCCTTCTCAAAGGTCATGGCACCTGACACTTTCCTGACTCACTAAAAGCTTCCTGCTGAAACCTAGTACAGCATGGGCAGGGAGAGGAGAGGATCAAGGCTTCAATACAACAGTATCAGGGTTTCTCTGGATATCAGCTGCCTACGTCCCTTCCCACACAGCTACTTGAGATAGTTCTTGCCTGCCAGGACTTACTCACCTGTCTCTCTAGTTCTTCTGCAAAGGCATCAAGGTCTAGATCCTTTAATCGCTCTGGGTTTTCCAAGATTTCCTCAAGGGCTCCTGCAGGATTGGCATCCTCTGCAGACTCATCATATTCCAAGGCGTCCACTGCCATCTTCCTGGCCCATTCATATGTTTCAGGGTGGACTCGGGAGCCATCAAGGACTTCAATGTATGAGTCAGTGCTGAAGAAAAGGCAGAAATGGAGCAAGGTATAAAACCAGAAGTTTTGATTAATTAACAACCCAAATGTCACCGATGCGGAACTGGCTGGGTAAATCAGGGCACTCCATATGATGGAATACTACACAGCCATTAAAAAGAATGAAGTAAATTTATGTTTGCTGACATGGGGAGATGGCCATGATATATTGATACGTGAAAAATGCACTGCAAAACACTATGAACCATGTGATCTCATTTTTGAAGTAAATGAGTAGTTAGTAAATGCATAGCAAAAATAAAATTTAGAAAATTGTAGTATACATAAAAACTGTTATGGTAGTTTTTTTCTGGGGGGTGGAATTATGGGGGACTTCCACTTTCTGTATAATAAGTTCTTTATGTTGAATTTTATATAGTGAACTTATGAGTCATAATATAAAATAAGAAGGGGGGAAAAACATCTGAGAATTTGCTGGCAGCTGTTTTCCCCCATAAAGCCTTCCCAGGCTGGTCTTGCCCGTGCACTCACATGGGCCTATGTTACTCGTGGAGTGTTACAGCAAAGCTGAGTGGAAAATGAAGTTTTAGAACTTGAAGCCTATTTCCCCACTGACTTCCATTACTGAATGAGGAGCTATGTGCCCGTGGAAAAGATCCTCCAAAGACTGAGTTGATAACTTCTGGAGAGGAAGAGGTCAATAGTGAAGTCTCAGTACCACCATCCTAAAACAGAACAAATCTCTCTCCCCGTCCTGAACCTCTTCACACCCATGCTCTTTTCCCACGGCCCCTTGTTATTCCCCTTCACCTGGCTGTCACAAACCCTAAGTACAACCTTATGCCTTCTCCGTTAAAGATGACACTGGTGCTTCTGTGTCTCCCTCTCACATGAAAAAGCCTCACAACTGATCTTTTCCATAGGTCAGGGGTGACTTCTTACCTTTTTAAAAAAACATTTCCTAATTTCAATTGGCCTGGGGCCCTTTCAAAGGCCTAATTCCCTGACACCCCAAATCAATGCCCAAGGAATTGTTCCTGGCCTGTCAAAGCAGAAGGTATCACCTGTCCCCCAGAGAGGCAGTGTCGATCTTGAGGAAGCCAGCACAATTCATGAAGACTTTGGGACCCATGTGACACATGGTGACCAGCTGAGTCCGGCTCTCGAGTCGAGTATTGTTCTGTTTCAAGATCTAGGGAAGAGGGCTGGCAGTGAGCAGGGCAGTAAGGGGTCCTGCCTCCCTAGACCGCTTTCTAGTTTCTGTTAAACTCTCTATGGCTTCAACTCTGTCAGACTTAGCATCTGGGACACCACCATGTTACCACTTCAAATGCCTGTAATGAGCTACACGTTACTTATCAGACTATGTATAGCTGATTCAGTGGCACACACATGTAATGTTAACACTTCAGATATTGAGGCAGAAGGATCATGAGGAGTCCCAGATCAACCTCAGCTACAAAATAAGCTTGAGGCCACTCAGGGCTACAGGAAACTATCTCAAAACAAAACAAAACCAAGGCCAGGTGATGGAGGCACACACCTTTAATCCCAGCACTCAGAAGGCAGAGGCAGGTGGATCCCTGAGTTTGAGGCCAGCTCACAGAAAAAGAAACCCTGTCTTGAAAAACCAAACCAAACCAAAAGACAATGGCATACATGCAATTGTGTATGGCTTGAAAGTGTACTGCAACAGAGAGTCGAGGGAGCATCATTCATATTAGGAAAAATGGTATTATGAATGCTGTTGGAACTCTTTCTGAAAGCTGAAATCCCTTTTTGTTTGCACTGGAAAAACCTGCTCTTCTGGCTTTTCCTGTTTTCCATTATGGCTTAAGGCCACTATAGCACAGTAGTGAGGCCGACTCTGAAGCTCACTGGCTGAATAGCTCTTAACAACCTGCTTTACCTCTCTGATCTGTCAATCATATTGGCAAAGTTCTTCACACACCAAACCTACCTTCAGCAAGTGGGTCCCTTTTCGAGGTCCCAGGCCACAGACATATTGGATCAAGGCCTGGCTGTAAGGATGTGCGATGGCACGGTTGACATCAACCCCGACCTCATTGACCCGGTTGATGAATTCACAGTACAAGGCGTTGAGCAGCTCCTCTTTCACAACATGCTCCTACCAACACAGCAGCAAGTAAGGGCACTGTGCCTTTCAACCCACCTGGCCTACTTGCTGATCCTACTTACCTGCAAGGGATGAAACTTGAGACACAGGATGTCTTCATCAGAGCTGCACACCTGAGCAAATTCTATCAGAGGGTCTTGGATGCGCCGGGCTAGAGAGACGGCTTGTCTCAGAACTGGTGGATAATCCCGAAACTCTGCCTAGAACCAAAGGAAGGTCACAGAACCTTAGGGTGTCCACAGTGACAAGGCAAGAAGAAATTAAACTATTATGGCTTGAGCCACTTTTTAAAAATTTCCTTTGGGGCCCCTGTCTTCCTAGGATCACTTTAATCTCTGGAGCTGCCAATCTGAACTATATCTAGTAGCCCAGAAAGTCTCTGTATGGGTAAGCTAATAGATGTAGTTTAACCATGACAACCTGCATTTCCTATTCAATCTCTCTAGGGTTCACAGCAATTGCCAGAGCAAGCCTCTGTGGTGTGGGATTAGCATTACCTCTGATTTCTTGCTGTTCATATACAGAATGGCCAATTCGTTGTCAACCAGCTCCACCCCAATAGAAGAAAGCTGTTGGCCTTGGTCCAGTTCATGTACTATGCGCTTCACATCCTCAATCAACATCTGGGCATCCCTGGAAGGATGAGGAGTATTGGTCAAAAGATCTATTTCCTCAGGAACGGATACTCTCCACTAAGAGGTGGGGGGGGGGGGGGGGACGAGGAAAGAGCTTCAAAAGAGAGAGGAGCCATCTCTCTCAGACCCCTGGAGCATCAACACCACACCCAGACACAAAGCCTCTGCTCTGGGCATGTGCCAGATTAAGCAATAAGAGATGAGTGACTCTGGGTCACAGCTTTACACTAGGCCTGCCCAGAGTCTCATACTCCTACCTGTTCTCTCCTGCAACAGTAACCACATGAGGCTTCTTATTTACAAGGAACTTCTTTAGGGTTTCAATATCTTGAGCCTGAATTAAAAGAAAATCATAGCTGAATAACTCTAAGCATGGAAAGTTTTCAAGCAAGCTGAGGCTTTCTTTCTTTTTTTGGGGGGGGGGGATTGTTGTTTTTATTTATTTATTTATTTTTACGTGGGTTTTGTATCTAGAACTTAACTCGAGATTTTCTTTTTAAGATTATTTTTGCTGGATATGGTGGCATGTCTTTAATTTCAGCCCTTGGGAGGCAGAGACAGGCATATCTCTGAGTCTGAGGCCGGCCTGGTCCCAAAGAGAGTTCTAAGACAGTAAGGGCTGTTACACATAGAAACCCTGTCTCAAAAAACAAAAACAAAAACCTTTTCTAACTACATGAACCACAGTTTGACAGTGCTATACTGATATTTTGATCCTTATTTTAAGAGTTAAAAAACATAGCTGTTGGATAAACTTTGTTATTTTTTTTAGAATGAGGCTTTTTACAAAATTTTGAAATACCATTATGATAAAGAAATCCAGAAATAGTCAAATTCATCTTTCCTTAGAAAAAGAGGTGCAGAAGGGCAGAAGCAGGGAAAAGGCTGGATCAATGCCCAGTGGCTCTCCTTCGTGCAAGAGTCTGACCCAGATGCTGCTAAGAACAGAAGCAGCAAGGCAGATCCACAAGTACACAAGGCCTAGACACTGGCTGAACACCAGAAGTGAACCACACCCAGTGAAGAGTGCCAGCTACTGCCAACAGAAGTGAGACAATGTATAAATATTAAGATGGAGATTAAAAGTATCAGTAGAGTATTATAATGTTGTTTATTTGATTAACGTTTTTTATGTTTAAAAAAACTTGCCAGGAGTGGTGACACATACCTTTAATGCCAGCACTGGGAAGGTAGAGGAAGGAGATCCTTGGGGTTGAAGCTAGCCTGGTCTACATCTGTTACTATTTCCTAAAGTTATTACATTTCTGGCTTATACTCAAGAGGTGATGACCTTGACTTACTTATGTGAGTTTTTGTTGTTTTGCTTATACCACAACACTGAACTAGTACACACTTGTGACCTGTTCTAGAGACCTACCTTTTTTTCCCGCTCTTCTTCTCTCCATGCAGTTCGCCGTTTGGTAAAATGGGGCAGGCGGAGGAAATCAGTCACTTCTCCTTCACCATTGACTAAGGCACAGAACACAGGGTGATCTCTGCCAGCCAGCCACAGAAAGAACAATGCAATAGTTAACAATATGAACCTCAGTGGGAAGAAGAAAACATGAAAGACAGGTGAGAGATGGTGCAAGGCAGGTAGGTACCTGGCAGAGGAGAAAGCAATGCCTAGGACTCGAATGCCTTTCCCCTGGTTCTCATCCATAAAGTCATCATCTTCTTCTACTTGCTGATCAGGTCGGTAGGGCGCCACCCTCAACCAGTTGTAGAGCTTTCTGCTACAGGCCTACAGGACACATAGCAGACACTACTGTCACCAGGGACTTCAAGTGTGTAAGGGCATGTATTCATGGGGTACATGTCCTAGCCACTTGGCAGGCCTACAACACAAAAGCTTACTTGTGTTTTGGAAATGGCAGCAACATAAGCAAGATGTTTTTAGATGAATGAAGACAGGGAAGAGACCTGGAGAAAACTTGGACATGAAGCCTCTGCCCTGTTTGTACTGTCACAGATTTACGCTCTGTATATCCTCATTCTTTAGCTACAAGACAACTATGGGTTGTCTTCATTCTCAGCTCTACTAAAGAGAATGAAAGCTAAGGTGTGGTACCATAAGCACTCAGGAGGATCACAAGTTCAGCTTGGGCTACACACAGAGACTTTGTCTAAAAACAAATCAGCAGGGCCAGAGAGATGACTCAGCAGGGTAAAGGCACATGCTGCCAGTCCTGACAACCTGAGTTTAATACATGGAACCCACATAGTAGAAGGGAAGAATCAACTTCTAAAAGATATCCTCTTACCTCACATGTTCATGCACAGACTCACACTTTAATAAATAAATATAATAAAGAAAAAAATAGTTTAGGGCTGGGGTGTGTGTGGCTCAGTGGTAATGTACTTGTCTACTTGTGCAAGGCTTGGGTTAAACATTTGGTACCAACCCCAGAGAGGAGCATGTGGGCCTCACCTTTACAACACTCTCTCTGGCTTCCGCTAGCAGCTTGTTCTTGAGTTCTTTGGCCATCTGCACATAGAGGAACTGCTGTAAAGCTCGTTCAATGGCCATAGTGCGCTGCCGGTTCCATTCCTGTACTTGGTGACTGAACTCATCCCTGTAGTAAAACTGTTTGATCTCCTCGAAATATGTCTGGTCATTGCCATACCTGAGGAAAGGCACAAAGCTATGGTTTCTGGTGGAGAAAACATGACACTCACATATCCATGAGTGAACCAACAACAAGGCTCATTTAATTCAGAAATGATGGTTTATGTCCCCCAGGGCTGTCTTCCCTCCTCCAGCCTCCTTCAGCTCAGGACTAAGTTATATTTAGCTTACCCTTCCACTCCCTTCATGTCTATGCTGATGTCAATGGTGAGCAGCCCTTCATCTTCAGCCAGGCCTATCTTGAGGAACTGGTCATCTCTGAGCTCTTTAACAGGCTTGTTTTTTAAGTACTTAAAAGAGTAAGCGTAGTGGGCTTCATCCACATCCTGAACACATTGAGAGGGAATCATTAGCAGGAAGGCAGGGCTGGGTCCTGGGAGAAAAGACTGCCTTTGGGTTGGAGGCAGACACAGTCTGGTGTGGCCACACTTACAACAACAGCCCTTTCCCCAACATACCTTTCTGCCTTTCTTGGTTGGGGTTATGTTTAGCTTGGCTCTCTCCTGGAAGGTTTGCCTCAGCACCTGTCTGACAAGGGGCTCTCGAGCAATCTGTAGTGCGACCATATATCGTGCACCTTCAAGCACAGCTTCTGGTGTAGGGAACTGGCTGTGGGGACAACAGGGGAGCTGCAGGATGAGGGTGTCTCTGTCTCCAGGTCACCCCTCCTGCTGGCCACCTGCTGTATGCCCACCTGCAAACATAATCTTTGGCCAGCTCCAAGGGCTCTGCAGGAAACTGTTCTGTCTCATGCCGTTGGTAGCTGTCACGGAGGTTCTCCCCAAACTGCTCAGGTGTGAGGCCAAACTTTTTGGCCAGGCCATCTAAAGCATACAGAAGAGTGAATGTGAGGCTTCAGCCAGCCATCAGACCTCTCACCTGTCACAAGTTATAGCAGCTGTTGTCAGTAGTTTAAAAGGGCAATGAGGCCATGAACAGGCAGGATAGGCCATCAAAGAACAACAATAAAGCCTAACTTTACTCAACTGGGAGACTTTTAACTGTATAGGAAATTTAAGAGACACTGGATAATCACAGAGGAAGGAATAGAAAGATGGTTGGAGGAACAAGCATTTATGGAGACTATCCAGTTCATTCCTGGAAGAGTGACTAATATGTTCTTTCCTGTTCCTGTCCACTAGGGCATTACTGGAAATGTTTCCCTATTCAAAGCTAAAATGCCTAGGTGGCCAAAAAAAAAAAAAAAAAAAAAAAAAAGTTGGTTTTTTACCCAGCCCTGCACTCTGGCAGATGGTGTACATGTCTCGGCGGGAGGCTTGCTTGAGCTCTGGTCCCCTTTGTTCTTCATCTTCAGCCTCCTCACCTTCACCTGGAGACAAATTTGAGGGCAATCAGCTTTTGTTTCTAAACCATTCCAAGGACCTGAGATGTCAAGAAGCCCCAGAGGGCACCCAATCCAGACATCAAGATTGGAGTTTTCTCTCTCAACACTTACCTTCTTCATCTCCATCCTCCTTTATACGTTTTAGCTTCTTACGGCTAGCCTTGGCAGCATTCTGCATCTTGGGGATGTCACGACCATAATAAAGTAAGAAATGGTTGTAAACGTCTTTCAGTTCATCCATTGACTGTACATCTTTGAGCCTGCAGGGGAAAGATGCAAGATTCTGTTACTGGAGGCAAGCTATGCTGTAATACTTTCTAATTCCCAAGAAGCAAGATCAAGTAGAATGAGCAAAGCAGTTCCAGACTACACAGGTAGGCTATCTTAAAGGAATATATGTTGTTGGGAGTGGCAGTGCATGGTTGTAATATTTAGAGACTCAAGCAAGAGGCCTGCCAAAGTCTGAGATCAGCCTGGGACATTCAACAACATTCTACTTCAAAAACAAGTAAGCTGGGTGTGGTGTCCTAGAACTTGAGAGGTAGAAATACTAGGACTGTACTGTATAAAATCCTGTAAAAATATATACACACATACACAAAACATGTCAAACTGAAATGGTTAGTGGTAATTTTTAGAAAAGAAAGTACAAGGCTGGAGAGATGGCTCAGTGGTTAAGAGCATTGACTACTCTTCCAGAAGTCCTGAGTTCAATTCCCAGCAACCACATGGTGGCTCACAATCATCTGTAATGAGATCTGATGCTTTATTCTGGTGTGCAAACATACATGCATAACACTGTATACATAATAAATAAAATCTTTTAAAAAAGTGCTTACAAAAAAAAAGAAAGGAAGAAAGATAGAAATGAAAGTACAAAGGCCAGGTGTGGCACCATACACCTGTAATCTCAGCACTAGAAACAGACTAGGGTACAAGTGTCACGTCAGTTTGGGCTGCACAGTAAGACTATGTCTCAAAAACAAAAGCAGTATAAGGAAGAGGCAGATCAGGCAACACGTGTTTAGTGAAGTTCAAAGTCTTTGAAAGTACTTCTCAGCTTGTAAGTACTATCCACCAAAACCACCTGTTGCCCTCCAATACCACATTATTGAGGCTACCAAATTACTTTAAAATTATAAACTGTCTCTTATGTAGCATTACACATGGAATAAATGCACATATTATCAAATGTGAATACTGAATACAAGGGCTGGGGAGATGGCTCAGAGGTAGAGCACTTGCTGTTGGATTGCCTGACAGCTCTCTTGTTCAGCTTTTTTTTTGTTGTTGTTGTTTATTTATTATATATACAGTGTTCTGTATGTATGTATCTCTGCAGGCCAGAGGAGGACACAAGATCTCATTACAGATGGTTGTGAGCCATCATGTGGTTGCTGGGAAATGAACTCAGGACTTCTGGAAGACTAGCCAGTGTTCTTAATCACTGAGCCATCTCTCCAGCCGTCAGCTTTTTTTTTTTTTGGTTTTACGAGACAGGGTTTCTCTGTATTGTTTTGGAGGCTGTCGGTCCAGCCTGGCCTAGAACTCACAGAAATCCGCCTGCCTCTGCCTCCGGAGTGCTGGGATTAAAGGCGGGCGTCGCCACCGCCCGGCACCTCAGCTTTTTTTTTAAAGTTTGTTTTTTGTTTTGTTCTGTTTTTCAAGACAGGGTTTCTTCTCTGTGAAAGTCCTGGCTGTCCTGGAACTCATTCTGTAGACCAGGCTGGCCTTGAACTCAGAGATCTGCCTGCCTCTGCCTCCCAAATGCTGGGATTAAAGGAGCATGCCGCCACCACCCAGCCTTGAATTCCTGATTCTTTTAACGATTTTTGGTAAATGAGTCAGTTTGTTTTTAGTACAGTAACATGGAAAAGCAAAATGAATACAATCTGTTAGACCATTCCCTTGCTCCCCATGGAGTTCTATAAAGTTCAAACATGATCTTCCCAGCTCTACCTTCCAACACCGCTCAGCCAGAAAATTCACTTTTAGTTGGGCATGGTGGCAGACACCTTCAGTCCCACTTGGGAGGCAGAGGCAGGTGTATCTGAGTTCGAGGCCAACTTAGTCTACACAGTGAGTTGTAGGACAGACACAGCTACACAGAGACCCTGTCTCAGGGGGAAAAGTTGTTTCGTTTTTGATGTATTGACAATTTGGGTGCTAAGGGCTGGGGCCCTATGCTGTAAATCTGCTCCTGAGGACCTACCTGCCTTCAGTCTGGTTGCTCCCTGTAAGAGAATAAACCCTGTATGCCCTACCTCTCCATATCAGTAGTATCCAAAGCCCGGATGCCATCAGCAAGAGGTTTGTCAGGATCAGCAGAGATTTGCTCATACTGATAAGCCTGCATCTTCTCAAATAGCCGAGTTAGGTTCTCTTTTCGGATCCTCAGCTGAGTCCACTAGGGCAGAGAAATGCAGGAGTGAGAACTGGTTTTAAGCCCTGGAGACCCAAGTTCGCTGTTCCCGTTAGCAGAAGCCCCTGTGGGGTAAGCTGGCAGCCGTAGAAGTCAGAGCTGTAGCACCCTGAACCTGGTTCTCAGCTCCCTGTGGGCCTTTTGTCCATGTTACCTTTTCGTCCCACTGCCACACTCTCCACAGGTCATTGATGTGCAATTCAGGTTCCACATACTCCTTTCGGTAGAAGGCAATAAAAGGTACCTACAGTAGCAAGGATACTGCTGTCAAGCAGAAGACCTGCAAATATCTCCTCTGCTAGAGGGTAATGATTTCCTAGTCTAATAGCTTCACAAAATCTTAAGTACAAGAATGGCCTCTCCAACTGGTTATCCAGGAAAAGTGTTTTCTCCAGTGGAATACATTAACATTGAAGACAGGAAATCCTGTCCCCGTGGTCCCTAGTGCCTCTTGCTGGTCATAACACTCTTGAGTTAAGAGACTCCTAACGATAAGGGGTTTACCACTTGATTATAGCTGCCTCTTGCCTCATCCTTTAATTTATATATAGTGTTCTGTCTGGAGGCCAAAAGAGGGCATCAGATCTCATTAAAGATCACTGTGAGCCACCATGTGGTTTCTGGGAATTAAAATTAGGACCTCTGAAGGGCAGTTAATGCTCTTATTCTCTGAGACATCTCTCCAGTCCATCCCCTAAACTCTAATGAATTTCTAACCACTGAGCTACTAGAGCTCAAGGAGTCACCTCAAAATGCTGATTCCGCATGAAGCCCAGGGCTTCTTTGATCTTCTGAATTGTGCTTGGCCCTTTGCGACTGAAGCTACTGGTTGGCTGTCCACGGTCTAGGTAATCACAGCTTTCCTATATTAAGAAGAGGCAAAAACAAAACAAAAGCAGCAAGTCACATTATCCTCTCTCTTACCACACAAAGGCTTAATAACATGATAGTCTTTTCTGAGGAAGTCTAAAATATTTTTTTTCTTTTCCATCTCTTTGTTTTTGGTCTTCCAAGACAGGGTTTTACTGTGTAGCCGTGGCTATCCTGGAACTTGAGCTTTGTAGACCAGGCTGGTCTCTAACTCAGAGACTGGCCTGCTTCTGCCTCCCGAGTGTTGGGATTAAAGGTGTGGGTCACCATGCCAGGCTTATATACACATACACTTTCCCAGGCATACAGAAGCGTTACACAGGGAAGGAATAGGTTCTCATTTTCATCAGATGGCCCTGATTCATGTCAGAACTTTTAACATTTACTTTATGAATATGAATGTTTTGCCTGCATGAATATATGTGTACCATGTAAGTGCCTGGTGCCCACAGAGCTCAGAAGAAGGAATAGAACCCATAGAACTCCAGGTACAGAGCCGGGTGTTGGTGGTGCATGCCTTTAATCCCAGCACTTGGGAGGCAGAGGCAGGCAGATCTCTGTGAGTTCGAGACCAGCCTACACTACCAAGCGAGTTCCAGGACAGCCTCCAAAGCCACAGAGAAACCCTGTCTCGAAAAACAAAACAAAACAAAACAAAACAAAACAAAAACAAAAACAAAAAAAAAAAAAAAAAAAAAGAACTCCAGGTACAGGCAGTTGTAAACTACTACTGGGTGCTGGGAACCAAACCCGGGTTCTCTTTAAGGGCAAGTGCTTCTGTCCTCTGAAGTAAAGACTTCTGAGTACCTGTAGGGAAATGGTTGGTGTGGCAAAGGCATTTCTGTAGATCCAGTCAGCTTCTTCTTCTAGCTCATCATCTTCAGCTGCCTTGACAGGGATGGAACGGAGCTGGAGTGGATAAGAGGGTGAGATATCTTTATTCTGTATCCTGCTTAGGGAAAAACACATACTATTTCTGAACAGAAGCATGTGATTCTTAGGCACATTCTAAGGTCACATGACATGAAATGAGCATTTTCCAGATTTGTTAAGAATACTATTTCATGCCGGGCAGTGGTGATGCACACCTTTAATCCTATCACTCAGGATGAAGAGGCAGATTGATCTCGGTGAGTTCGAGGCCAGTCTGGTCTATACTGAGAGTTCCAGGACAGTCAAGGCTATACAGAGAAACCCTGTCACAGCCTCCACCCCCCCAAGATTAAGGCGAGAGGATCAGAAATTTAAGGTCATCCTTAGCTACTGAGTTTGTGCCACTCTGGGCTAAATGAGAGCCTGTCTCAAAAACAAACAAAACTATAAAAATAACAAAGCAAGAATGCCATTTCAATGTCAGACCTGTAATCCTAGCTACTCAGGAGGCTGAGGTTTAAGACCTGCTTGGGCTAGAGTCAGTTGAAGGCCAGCCTAAGTTAGTGAGACTCTGTTTCAAAATAAAAAGTAAAAAGAGGACCAAGGACATCAGTCAATAGCAGCACTCTTACCTACCATATAGGAGGCCCTAAGTTTAATTCCCAGTACTGCCAGAATAAATAGATAACAGACTCCCTGGACTTGAGTTGGATGGGTTTCAAAGTCTATGACGGATACTACTCATTGTGGTTTCCTACCTGGAACCTCTCAGGCAAGTCAGTGGCTCGGATTTCATTGTCCTGGTCTGTGAGGTGGCTGCTCTCCAGTTCACTGGGCTCATACATCTCAAAGATGCTCCTACGGCTCACACGCTTCTTGGTGGTTTTCTTGGGGCGCACTCGGATTTCACCTTCAGCCTCTTCATCCTCATACTCATAGTCTTCCTCCAGTTCTTCATCATATTCATTGTATTTTTCAAATTCGTCATAGTCAAAGTCTACACCAAAGATCTCCTGAGCTTCTTGCAGGGCTCTGTGTGAAAGAATAAGAGGCAGTGGGCTCAGGATTGAGAGAGAGGAGAAATACAGCCCCTGGCCAGATCTTTTGCAGGTCTCAGAGGACTAAAGGAGCAAAGAGAAAAGCCAGTTGGATAATCATATTCAACCTGGAATAAATAGGTGCCTGGAAATTTCAAGGCAAACTATTATCATAGGATAAAAAGTCTATCTTTGGCACCTGCCAGAGATAGGTAGATAGGTCCTTATTCTGATTAGCGAATCATCTGTTGCCAAGATACTACAGCATTCCCTTAGTACAAAACCTTTCAAACTATTATGCTTTTATACAGATTAGAAGGTATTTTATAGATGAACACACCAGGCAAAAGAAGGATGCTAGACTCATGTCCATGTGCAACTCTATCCTAATCATTTTTTTTTTTTTTGCTTTTTTTTTGAGATAGGGTTTCGTTTGTTTTTGATTTTTTGAGAAAGGGTTTCTCTGTGTAGCTTTGTAGACCAGGCTGGCCTCGAACTCACAGAGATCTGCCTGCCTCTGGCTCCTCAGAACAGGGTTTAAAGGCTTGTGCCACCACCCCTGGTTTTATCCTTATCTTTTGAGGACTCACATACTTGAGAGCATTCAGTGACTGTAGGAGGAGCTGGAAATCACTGCCTACTAGAGGTGATTTGAGAGACACCAAACAAAAATAGATGAGAGTTAGGATCATTCTAATTATGGCAGAAGCCTCTAGTCTTCCTGATCACATGTCCATTCAGTGTCTTTATCACCACATGGTAATAGGCACACTTACGCATCCGTATATCCAGGAAGCTTTTTTCGCCATTTGGGCTTCTTTAGAGGCTGTCCATCATCATCCACAATGAAATCGTCAATATCTAGGAGGACAAGGAACAAGTTAAGGGCTTGGTCAGTGGATAAACCTGGTTCCTACCAGGGAGAAAATGAGGGAGGTACCTAAAAGGATCTCCCTATTGGACCACGAAATCTCAACATTCCTGTCCAGAATCCGTCACGTACCTGACTCTTCATCATCTTCCTCTTCTTCCTCGGGAGGAGCTATGGGGGCCTCTACAGCCTCCTGTCCTTCTTCCCCTTCTTCATACTGGAAAATCGCCTCTGCAATAGCCTCCTTTTCATGTTCCTCTTTGCCACATTCCTCTTCATCATCATCTTCATCATCAGACATTTTTTTGACACGTCGGAATTTTTGCTAGTGTTAAGAAACATGCTTTATTAGGATGGGGTGTGTGGGTGGTCAATATAAGGATGTTTGTTATCCAGGCTCACTTCTATAGTCTCTCCACAATTACATTCATCAAGTGAGATGGGAAAGAACACATCGAGCCTTACCCGGCAGACTGACAAATCTTTTTCTAATAGGCTTTGGATCTGGGCCTCACAGCATTATGCTGCTGGGCATCCTTCTCCTCTCTGATGACCCCAAAGCATTCAGGAAGAAGGATAAGAAAGTACTTACTCCTCGTTTGACTTTAACACCCAAATTCTCCTCAATGAGGTCAAAATCATCATCTTCCAGGCGGTCATCAAAAGATGCTGAAGAAAACAAAGTGTACCCATGGTAAGGAGGAGGCTCTTCTCCATTACAACTCCACCCTAGCCTCAGTTGACATGGAGACATGCTACTTACTGCGCTTTCTCTTCTTGTGGCCAACATCATCTTCTGAATCACCAGAGTCACTGCCCTCATCTTCCTCCCCTTCTTCTTCATCATCGTCATCATTGATAAAGCCTTTCAGGTTGCCTCGCTCATCTTGATCATCTAGATTCTCCTCTTCCTCCTCCTCATCTGAAAATACGTGTTTCTGAGGCATGGAGATTGGGAATAGACGAGGGTGGGGGCAGACTACCCACTTAACTTCAATTATTCATCTGCCCTGAACCCAGTAACTGACTAGTTACTAGGTAGCATGTTAATTCTCTGCCCCATGTAATGGCACAATGTAGGACTTAGAGCAGTAGCACCTGCAAAGGAAGGTTTCTTTCCCACATTTACCATCTGTCTTTAGGAAAAGAAGATCTTCCCAATTAGCTTGCCTCCTCAAATCATTAGTAGAAGCTTATTATCTACCAGTAACCTAGTTTCCTCAAAGTACAAACTCATCAGCTATATTCCTTTTTATATTCTTTTGTTGAAAGTTTTACCTCCCACCCCCCTAAAAGTTATTTCACAATTCTACTCTCTTGACGACTCTAAAGGTTAGAAAGGAGAACATGAACATCCATAGGTCTAAAAGTGGGAAGCATTACAAAGATTTATTCATCAGTTTACTGTCTCATGTACACTAATGTAAACTTGAACTAGCATAAACAATATCTGCATCTTATTTTGTCTTGATAGTTTTCTAATTACTGTGCCTGGGATACAGCAGAGCGATGCACTATGCATTTCTATGAATGACTGAACGTTCTCAAGCTGGTACCTCAAGTGTGAGAACTTCTGTGCTCAGCCTGAGCCTTTCATCAGCAAGAATCCAACTATCCAAAGCTTAGGAATAGTGGGGAGAAGATTGAGGCTGGGGCCTCCTCACCATCATCCTCCTCTTCCACAAACTTCTTGGTGACTCTAGGTACCACCTCGCCTTCATCATTGTATTCTTCCTCTGACTCTTCGGCCTCACTTTCCACAAAATCAGACATTACTGCAGCTTCTCACAGCCTTCTTGAAGACTACAGAAGGGAAAGAAAGTGTGTGTGTGAACAAAAATAAGACACATGAGCCAGGTGTAGTGTTGCACGCCTTTAATCCCATCACTGGGGAGGCAGAGGCAGGCGGATCTCTGTGAGTTTGAGGCCAGCCTGGTCTACAGAGTGAGTTCCAGGAAACCCAGAGCTACATAGTAAAACCCTGTTTCATAACAAATAAACAAAAGACACATAATTTTAAACAGTGCTTTTAAACCTCTCCTTGTAACTATCTATCATGGCTCTGCCCACTCCATCATTTCTGCTCAATAAGAATCAGGAGGCTTGCTGGGCATTGGTGGTGCACGCCTTTAATCCCAGCTCTCAGAAGGCAGAGGCAGGGGGATCTCTGTGAGTTTGAGGCCAGTCTGGTCTACAGATCAAGTTCCAGGACAACCTCCAAAGCAATACAGAGAAACCCTGTCTCGAAAAAACCAAAAAGAATCAGGAGGCTCAGTTTGGGAGTGTGACTCTATGGTGAGGGTTCACCCAACACGCAAGAGGCCCGAGTTTGACTTCCAAAACCAGAAAACAATCAGAAGGTTCCAAATCTCCCATTCTTCCTAGGGTTGCTCCTCTTGTATTTTAAGAAATGGCAATTATACAAAAATTAAATCAGAATCATTTTTCTCTTTCTCACTGTTCTAATTTAGAAAGGGTTTCACTCTGTAGCCCAAGTTCCCCTTGAATTCACAGCAATCCTATTTCTGTCTGTCCAGTGCTGGGATTTCAGGAGCTAACCACTATATCTGTATTATTTCTCTCTTTTTTTTTTTTTTGGTTTTACGAAACAGGGTTTCTCTGTGTTGTTTTGGAGGCTGTTGGTCCAGCCTGGCCTCGATCTCACAGAGGTCCGCCTGCCTCTGCCTCCCGAGTGCTGGGATTAAAGGCGTGCGCTGCCGCCCCCCCACCCCGCTGTATTATTTCTCTTTTTTTTTTTTTTTTTTTTTTTTTTTTTTGGTTTTTCGAGACAGGGTTTCTCTGTATTGTTTTGGAGGCTGTCCTGGAACTCACTCTGTAGACCAGGCTGGCCTCGAACTCACAGAGATCCACCTGCCTCTGCCTCCCGAGTGCTGGGATTAAAGGCGTGCGCCACCAACGCCCGGCTATTTCTCTTAACCCAGGTGTTTTACTTCACAATTTCAGGCAGATGGAGAAAGCAACCAACATAGGGAGGAGAGGCTATGATGCTAGAGTGAGATTATATGACTTGTTCAAAAGAAGTTTGAGAATTGCCAAGACTTTGTATAAGGTACTTTCATACATACTCTAGCAGAGTCAAAAGAAAAATCCCTGCCATGCATGGTAGTACAGGGCTTTAAATCAAGGATGCAGAGGCAAGAAGTAGATTTCTGGGAATCTAAGGGCAGTCTAATCTAAAAAGTGAGTTCCAGGTAAGCCAGGGATTCACAGTAAGACCCTGCCCCCCAAAAAAGGAGATGGGGAGACTGGAGGGATGCCTCAATGGTTAAGAGGACTGGATGGATGTTTTTCCAGAGAATTCAGGTTCTATTCCCAGGATCCACATGTTTGCTCATAACCACCTGTGATTCCAGTTCCAGAGGATCCAATGTGCTCTTCTGGACTCCTTGAGCACCAGTCATATACATGATGCACAGACATAGATGCACGTAAAACATCTATACATATAAAAACAATACAATTGTTTTAAAAAAAAAAATCCCTATACGAATTTATGCCTGCTTGTATGACTGCTGGTTTGAAGAATTCGGCTGAAAAAGAGCCTCTTTAGAAAGATGAGAACCATGATGAATCAACCTATCATTTACTTTTTAACTTTTGTTTTCGTTGCTGTGATAAAACACTGACCAGAAGCAATCTAGAGGAGGAAAGAGTTTATTCACCTTACAATTCCAGGTCATAGTCCACCACTGAGAGAAGTAAAGGCAGAAACTTGAAGGCAGGCTTGCTGGCTATTCCACATAAAATCAACTCTGACAAAGGTACTCATTTCACAGGCAAGACACAGTAAGAGCCATGAAGAATGGTACTTTCTAGTTGGCTTTCGTATACTCAGCTAGCTTTCTTTCTTTCTTTTTTTTTGAAGGTCTTCACTTTTTTATTCTTTATGTACAAAGACTAGCATGATCTGTTTCACTGGGTAGACAGTCTTGAATAATCCATTCAAGGCTGCTTAGTCCAACTTAATGAAGCCTATGTCCTTCGCGTACTGACGGAAGCACTGACGGCACATGTTCAGCCCATATTTCCGGATCAGGCCGTGGCGGTTGGAGCAGACGCGGCAAGAGCGCGAGCCCTGGCCGAACTTGCGCGGGTGACTCCAGTAGAGCTGCTGGTGACCCATCTTGTCTTCAGCCGGCACAAGAGGAGAAAGGCCTCAGCTAGCTTTCTTACATGGTTCAGGACCACTTCTAAGCCATGGCACTGCCCATAGTGGGCTGGGCCCTTCTACATTAATTAACAATCAGGATAATCCCACACACATACACACAGGTCAATCTGATCTAGGCAATTCCCTAACTGATACTCACCCCTTTCAGATGACTCTAAGCTGTGTCAAACTGGCAGTTAAAGCTAACCATTTCCTTGCCAAAAACAAACAAACAAACAACAACCTCCCAGTCTTCCATGGCCTACAGGAAAAATAGAAAGACCTTTAGAGTAGAGATCAAATTCTGATCTCAACACCTAATACCTAGATCACTTGGAGAATGACAACAGAGTACTCCAAGCCTGCTGAACTGATTATCATCTCTAGAACCATGGTTGAAGGGCAGATTAGATTCCTGAAAGTTGTTCTCTGACCTCTATGTGCACACCATAGAGCATGGCCTTGCACACACAAACCATACACACAATAATAATTATAAAGGTGATGATGAAAGTTGGTGAGATGGTTCAGTGGGAAAAAAAAGTGCTTGCGGTGCAAAACCTGGTGACCTTAGTTTACCCCTGGAACCTATGTAAAGATGAAGAAAGCAGACTCCTCAAAAATTGTCCTCTGGCCGGGCGGTGGTGGCGCACACCTTTAATCCCAGCACTTGGGAGGCAGAGGCAGGTGGATCTCTGTGAGTTCGAGGCCAGGCTGGACCGACAGCCTCCAAAACAATACAGAGAAACCCTGTCTCGTAAAAACCAAAAAAAAAAAAAAAAAAAATTGTCCTCTGTCTTGTCCCCTTACCTGATAATAAAACATAAAATAAAAAGAATCATCAAGCAGTGGTGATGCACACCTTTAATCTCAGCACTCAAGAGGCAGAGGCAGGATCTTTGAATTCAAGGCCAGCCTAGTTTACAAATCAAGTTCCTGGACACCCAGTGCTACACAGAGAAACCCTGTCTCAAAAACCAAGAGTCAATATATTGTTTCTTTTTTTGTTTTAGAAAGACTGTTTCAATATGGCACACAGTGGCCTAAAATTTGCCATGTAACTAAGGATGGACTTGAACTCTAGCTCCTCCTGCCTCTACCTTCCAAGTACTGGAATTACAGGTGTGTGCCATCATAGTAAGCTAAGAATGTAGTTTCAAATACATGTTAACGGGTTTCTTTTTTTAAAAAAATATTTTGTTTGTGGGATTGGAGAGATGGCTCATTGGTTAAGAGCACTGACTTCTCTTCTGGATGACCCAGGTTTAAATCCCAGCAACTGGCCCCCACATTGCAGCTTACAACTTCTGTAACTACAGTTCCAGGGATCTGACACCTTAGCACAGACATACATGCAAGCAAAACACCAATGCACATAATAAATAAATTTTTGTGTGTATTAGTGTTTTTTCTTGGGTGCATGTCTGTACCACATACATGCAATGCCCAAGGAGGCCAAAAGACGGCATCAGATCCTCTTGATCTGGAGCTACTCAGTTGTTAACTCCTAGGTCAGTGCTGGGAAATCCTGTACTCTTCAAGAGCAACAAATGCTTTTATTTATGGAGCTGTCTCTCCAGCCCTGTCAACTGGGTTTCAATTTGAGTCCTGGGACTCATTTTACTTAGCATTCTATAAATCTCTACCAACTAATAACTTCATTTTCTAACATATCTAAAGCTTGTCAGGGAACTAAAAAAAAAAAAAAAGCCTAACTGAGCCCTGAGTAGAACATTAAAATAATACAAAGAGGCAGAGTATGTAGCTCAGTAGACAGATTGCTTGTCTAGCACAAATGAAGCCCTAACTGCAAAACCAGCTTTGAAAGCAGAAGCTTATAATTCCAGCTTTCAGGAGTTGGCAACAGGAGGATCAGAAGTGCAAGACTTGGGAGCTAGTTTAGTTGGAAAAGTGTTCTATGTGAGCCTGATGACTCGAGTTGATCCCTAGGAGGCATGAAAAAAGCTGGGCATGGTGGCACTGGTTGGTAATTTCTAGCACGGAGAGGTGGGGGAAGCGGAGACAGGTCGATCTGTGGGGCTCACTATTCTGGCCTACTTGGTAAACTTTCAGGCTGTTGAGACTGACTCAAAAGACGGGGTGGATAACCCCAGAGGAAAAGTACCCCATAGCTTCTACATGCACATCTGTGCACTTGCACAATACATTTACATACTCCATACACATGAACAAAAGGAGGTTAGAAGAGGGTATCCGATGCCCTGGAACTTAAGTTAGGGATGCTTATGAACCACCATGTGGGTGCTGGGAATTGAACCAGGGTCCTCTTGCAAGAGCAACAGTAAGTCCTCTCAACCACTGAGGCATCTTGTTTTGTTTTGTTTTTTTGTTTTTGGAGACAGGGTTTCTCTGTGTGGTCCTGGCTGTCCTGGAACTCTGTAGACCAGGCTGACCCTGAACTCAGATATCTGCCTGCCACTGCCTTCTGAGTGCTGGAATTAAAGGCATGTGCCACCACTGCCTAACTACTTAATAAGATTAAAATTGGTCCTGAATAGTTTGATGACTACTGAAAAGGTTCTGCAGGGTTGTGACATAGGAAGTCTTTGGATTAGGTGGATGCCCTTCTCCCCTGTATCCTTATGGTCATTTAGCTTCAGCAATACCAAGT